CGGAGGAGGAGGATGGTGGTGGTGGAAGCGGCGGAGAGGACGGAGGGGCAGGCATTCTTGCTGCCACTCCCTTGAACGCTGTTATTCTATGCTTCTCGTCACTCCTTCTCGAAATGCGATATTGTAGTTCGTCCAGGAGAGGAGGTTGGGCAGCGAAAGGCGGAGGATAGCGAGGCTCGTGTGTCGTCCAAAACGCTCGAGTGGTGTATTGGTGACAAGGGAAAACGTCGAGACTAGAGTCGAGTCAGGTCAGGCCTTTGTGATGTGAATACACATATACCAATAATGGCTCTCTGCCTGGTTGTTGTGATGGAACATTTGCAGGCGTGGGTGATTGGCAACTGGCAACTCGTCATACGAACGCGGCGGAGTCGATTTAACGCCTGTGAGCGCAATCTTCGGCGTCCTGATGGCGTTGCTCCACATTGCACGGCATATCAGCACAAACATAACTACGTCTTCAGCTCCAGGCAACACAATTATTCCACCCTTCAGGGCTTTTTCTCAAAACCAAATCTATTCATTGCTTACAACCTTGCCTTCGTTTTTCTGCAGAGTTCAAGTTACAGGTACCGGATCCTGCCGCCCGAAGCCAAGGTATGCCAGCAAGTCGCACAAAAAATACTCGCAACTACCTATGAGACTCAACTCCCCCGGAACCATATGAAGATCGTGACAGACCAGAAACAAGCAGATCATGAATATGTGGGGTTGATGGAAAGCCTTCACTTTCACCTTGTACGTCCTATCACCATGACAAGCTGGCTGCAGTCACCGGAATCTTGAATTGTGGAGGGCACTATGAATGACTGCAGATCTTGCAAAAGACCATCTGAAGGGTAAATTGTGTGGTAGCAATTTTCGCGTTCGAGAAGACTGGTCGATTGTTGAGACCAGGAAACGCACTTGTCCGAGAGGGAATTGTTCAGGAGTGACCGGCCTTGCGGAGCGAGTTGCTCAACCATTCGAGACCTTCATAGAGACCATCACCAGAGGTAGCGCAGGTGGATTGGATATACTGTATCATGCTTTAGCCACTGGCACATTGAAATAACTCGGTTTCCTTACCCATGCGCGTTGTCGAAGACTGTGCAGACCAAGCTTATCGGTGATTTCGGCAGCGTTCATTGCGTTCTAGGGGTGCGTCAGAGCGAGCAACAAGAAAGTTCATGAATCTGGCACTCACAGGCAGATCCTGTTTGTTTGCAAAGACCAAGAGGAGGGCATCACGCAGCTCGTCCTCATTGAGCATGCGTTGGAGTTCCTCACGTGCTTCGACGATACGATCCCGATCGTTGGAGTCGACCACGAAGATGATGCCCTGAGTGTTCTGGAAGTAATGCCTCCACAAAGGCCGAATCTTATCTTGCCCACCAACATCCCACACTGTGAATTGGATGTTCTTGTATTCGACGGTTTCGACGTTGAATCCTGGGAGCGCAGGTTAGATTTAGGGTTATTCAGGGCGATCATGGTTTCTCATCGTACCGATGGTGGGAATCGTGGTGCTACACGATGTTAGTGTGGATTTCTAGGGGCTTGCATGGGGTATGCAAGGCAGCATTTGATATCACATACACAATTTCACCAAGCTTGAGCTTGTACAGGATGGTGGTCTTTCCAGCAGCGTCGAGACCAACCATCAAAATTCTCATCTCTTTCTTTCCCCATAGTCGGTCAAACAGTTTTGAGAAGGCGAGACCCATGTCTGCGGTTCAGCTGAGGGAGGTCGTGGCAAGGGAGATTGTGGGTAAGGCGGTCTAGTAAATAGGGTCAGCTAGGGACAAGTCTGGAGACGCGCAAGTCGATGCGAAGTAATGTGATATAAAGAAGTATAGAATGAAGCCAGTAAGATCTAGGTCTCCTGCAATATAAATGAAACCAGAGGACTGCCCTGTAAACGTCGCGCGACCCAGAGACAGATGTGTGGCCACTTTGTCCTTGAGGACCTGGCACGTTGGATTTTTGCGGCAGGCAGCTGGAATTCTTTGGCTTACCGAAAAGGCTAAGGGACTCTATTCCTGGCGTAGAGACAGGCAAAAGAGTGTCAAGATGCTAGGTGGACGTGATTGTCAGGATTAAAGATGGACAATGGGGGAAGTAAGTCTGAAAGTGGACAAGTTCTCAGGACGCCGGGTGGATAGTTGGGCTGGCGAAGTTGGACTCGCAGCCGATGATTGCCAAGCCCTCCTGCAGACAAAATCTCCCGGAGTCAGCCACAGCGCAGGCGGCAGACTCGAGGCTGCACAGATCGGATCTCTTGACAAGCAATTATATTTGGACTATGAGACTCTCTATGACTTGTAAGCAAGGCTGACTCTTATGAGGCTACAAGAAGATCAATTTTCTCCGGAGGCATAATTCCAATTTTGATCGGTGACAAACGTCGCCGTCCTGCCCGTTGCTAACAGGAAACGGGCTCCGATTTACCATCACACCATACTGTACCACACCGCACGTGAGTAACAAACTGATCTGGCTTGACATATCTTGCGATCGGAAACCATAACTGCACGTCTCTCTTTTCAGTTGCACACCTCCATCCTCAGTGTCGTTGTAAGATACTTCCTGCCTTCCTTTTCCACCTCCTGATTTGGCTCGATGATCCGAAAACCGAGTTTTTGGTAGAGATTCAGGGCATTGTCATTGCCATGTACCACACTTGTGAGGCAGCATGGGGACTCGCCAGATTCCCTCGAAGAGTTTTCCCTGACATGATCGATGGTCGCCTGAACAAGGCGCTCCCCCAACCCTTGCCCACGCACCTCAGGCTCGACATAGAGTGCCGCCATATACCACTCGGCAGACGATGATCGACCAGAATCGTCCACCGCCTTGGGACTTGGTGCGACGATGACCACAAATCCAACCCATTGATGCTCCAGCAGGGTCGATTTCTTTGCCTGTGCATCATGGCGAAGCAGGATAAGGTGGGTTACATGGTCGTCCCTGAGTCTATTCAACCAGAATTCCTCTGGCTGGCTGGCCTCGCTCTCGTAGCTGGATATGAAACTCTTCGCGTCTTCCTTCAGGCTTCTCAACCTCAGGACCTTGAGACGGGACGAATACTCAAGAAAGGTGGCATGGTCCTGAGCGGGATGGGGTAGAGTGTGGACAGAAAAGGAAGCCATAAGGACAAGCGGAGGGAAGGTGTCGAAAATCTTGTAATGCAGGATGAGGATTTCTCGATCTGTGTACAATTACAAAGGGGTTGTCCCGGCTAGGGAGTCCCCTGTGTATTAGCTGATGCCGTAATGACTCACTGGCACCCAACTGGGACGAGATTGTTTGACTACTCTTGCGAGGACGAGGAACGGTGACATTGCCTGGTATTTATCCTAGAGTCCAAAAAATGTGGGAGTTACAAATACCAGCCAGCACGACGGACATAGCAAGATCGTAATACACTTGGTCTTTGAAATCAATGAGGCGTATAGAAGCCACTGAAGGCTCGAGCGAGGCTCGTAACCCACAGCCAATCAGCAGTCAATAGCCTCAGAGGAGAACTAACACACCCAGTCTCGATAAGGGTTAAGCTTGTGAAGTCTTGGCATTGCTCACAAACGATTTTCTACCCTCGACTCTCGCAACTCGCCGACTTCTTGGTCTTTTCCATTCCTCAACCCGTTTCTTGCGCAGTGCCTCACCATAAGAATCTACAAAATTCTTCTGGAAGACTGTCTTCATCATGTCGAAAATTACAGTCGGTAAGTTTCATTCAATCCTCAATCTGTGGCGGTCTTTCTGCTGCAGTCCCTGCACGGCGCCATACACAACCTGGATTGATCGCTGACGGGATTTTTTTTCGCCTCTCTCTACAGCCGGAGTGCGCGTGAACGTCCAACAACTTCTCGACTACTCTCTCAACGAGAAGAAGCGAAACTTCCTCGAGACGGTCGAACTCCAGATCGGCCTCAAGAACTATGATCCCCAGCGTGACAAGCGTTTCTCGGGAACCATCAAGTTGCCCACCGTCCCCCGACCGAACATGACAATCTGGTATGTCCGAGACACGTCCCCGGGGAGCTAGAAAGACAGAAAAATGAGATTTTCGACAATGGGTGTCCTGTGAAATGTTATGAGGCAGAGGGCTGACAAGAGACCGTCTGGTATACAGTGTCCTGGGTGACCAACACGACATTGACCGAGCGAAGCACCTGGGCGTCGACGCCATGTCGTCGGACGACCTGAAGAAGCTGAACAAGAACAAGAAGCTGATCAAGAAGCTGGCGCGCAAATACGACGCCTTCCTGGCCTCGGACTCGCTGATCAAGCAGATCCCCCGTCTCCTGGGCCCCGGTCTCTCCAAGGCCGGCAAGTTCCCCACGCCCATCTCGCACAACGAGGACCTCTCGGCAAAGATCGTCGAGGTCAAGTCGACCATCAAGTTCCAGCTCAAGAAGGTGCTGTGCATGGGCGTCGCCGTCGGCAACGTCGGCATGACCGAGGACGAGCTGATCAGCAACATCATGTTGGCCATCAACTACCTCGTCAGCTTGTTGAAGAAGGGGTGGCAGAACGTGGGCAGCTTGACCATCAAGGCCAGCATGAGCCCGCCCAAGAGACTCTACTAGACAGGACCCCGTCTCATTCATCTGGTCGGCTCAGCGGGTTGGGTACTGGTTGGGATTCTCTCCCAGGTTCTGCTCCGCCTGAAGCGCTGCGCCTCAATAGCTAGCTAGTCGAGATATCGTTGCGAGCTCCCCTCAAAAATGTATGGGCGAGAAAGGCGGGAGGAACCTGCTTAGTTAGACCTTGCAGTCATCTCGTACGAAGTCATGTGAATGCCAATGAAAACGTTCTGTGGAAAAGATCAAGTACAACACTTAAAAGAAAACCTTCACGAGCAGCGTATCGCAAGTAAAAGTCAGACGGTGACAGATGCATCTTGATTCACCGAGGACAGCAGACACTGTAATAGCGCCGCCCGTTCCCAGCAGAAAGTAGTTTACTCTATTTCTTCAGAGGCGGTGCTCACTTCATGCCCTCCATCAGATCCGTCTTGTCGAGAATCATGTCCCTCAGGCCACATTCGTCCCTCAACCTCTGCCACTCGGCACCATGCTCCTCACCCCATCGGCTCTCCTCCTGAAATCCCCAGGCCAGAGCCAGGCGGTCGAAAAACCGCCTCTCGTCTTCTCTCAACCACCGACTGCTCAAATGCGTGCCCGGCCGCCACACGACCCGCTGCATCTGATCGTTGTAGGTCGTGACGGCCACGAAGCCAATGGTACTTAGCGTCCCGATGTACGCCACGGCGCCCGCGATGGCAGTGTATTTGGCCATCTCGACATCCATCGTGTTTTGCCAGTGCGAGACCCAGTCCGCGCCGGCGTATGCGATCAAGGGTGTCGCGCCGATGATCAGGCCGGGTACACTCCCTCGACGGAGGGCCTTGTTCGCACGAAACGCTGGCGCGCCCACTGTTGTATCGATAATTGCCAGAGCCAGCGGGAGATTCTTTTTCAGGATGGCGGATTCGAGGGCCGCTTCAGCGAGGTCGAGCGGGACCGCGTACTTGGGCAGTTTCGGCCACGGACTCGAGTACTTGACCGGCTTGCTGCCGGCGGCGGGGATCTGCTTCGTGGCGTAGAGGTGGAAGATCTCGGGCAGGTATTCGGGTCTCCCCAACAGACACAGGATGCGCACGTACATCTGGAGCATGTCTTCTGTGATGTAGACCTTGGGGTCACGGAGGAGGTCATACGCGAGCTGGGAGACTCGCTTTGCGGCATCTTCGCGGAAGGAGAGGGACATTTGCTTGTTGTTAGAGATAGTAGATGAGTCGATTGCAACACCGACAGTGTGCAGTCCGGATGCCTTGTCTTCGGCGAGATCTCGAAGTAATGCATCTCCCATTTCCTTGCCCTGTGTGGTTGTCCTTGCCATCTCTTCCGGCATCTTGCCCGTTCCCCCGTGCACCAGCACACCTGCGAACTCGTACATATCCATCAATGCTTCGAGGACATCGTCTTTGTCGGCTGCCGCATTGCTCGACTGTATCTGTGCGACGAATTTGCGGAATTCCTGGAGCCTGCGGGCAGGATCGAGATTCTTTGATGAGGTTTCGGTCGAGGTACCACTGTTGACCTCTGCCTGTGCATTTCGCCTTGACGCTAGAGAGTCGCTGCTCTTGCTGCCGCCGTCTGTTAAGGACTCTGCTGTTGAAGGAGGGGCAGTAGCTTTTCTTGTCAATGGCACGGATATGCGCCTGCGCGGTTTGGGGAGGATGGGTTCCTGCTTTGTGGGATTCGCGACTTGCGATATGAATTGTCGTCGGTTAGATTGCACTGTAGAAAGCTTCTGGCACGAGCGACAGACGAAGCCAGCTCGACGTGGAAATATAGTCGCCATGATCCCGGTTCATTCAAATAGATCCTGAGCAAGGAAGAGGGTATGGGTATGTCCCTGCCTTGCATTGAAATTCGCGAGGGCAGGAAGCTTCTCGGTTAACTTTTAAAGTTGGAAGACCGTCTCTCCAACGACACTTGCCCCGTCGTGGCTTGCACTGAATGATGATTGGACATCTCAAACGACATACGAATGCAACACGACCATTTTATTGAGCCGCTCGCTAACAAAGATATATTTTGGGACTGCTGGAGTAGTAAGAGTGCCTAATCAGAGGCAGCTGAAAATATCTGGGCCCACTGCGTTATCTATAACCACCTTTATAGCTAGAATACTCGCAAAGCACCCTTCCTGACATGGTTACCTGGCGGTTGAAGTTGAAGTTGTGCAAATGCAAAGTGCTTGATGGTCTGACCAACACAGGGTCACTTGATTGTTGATGAGCTGACTTAGGCATTCTCATACCAGATATGCCGAGACACCCCCAGAAGCTCGGTAACGTACGTTGCCCAGGTCGAGCAGCCTTACCTGATTGTGTAGTATCGAGTGAGGGTCTTCTGCAGATGGCGCCTCATACAAGACCTGGCTCACACCACAACGGAGAAAAGATAAGTCAAGGAATGGAGCACTCTGTCATAAAGAACCTACCTGGATCTGCTGTGTAGCTGACTCGCGTGAAGCCCCCAGGAAACAGATTGTCCTGCAAACTGATCATCCATGTACTCTCGAGACTCGGGAAGCATGATCAAAGGTGCCATTTGGGCAAGCTTCTTCTGGTTTGGAGGTCGAACAGCGAGCAGTTCGAAAACCCCGAACACTCACAAATGGTAGTCTGATCTTGTGTCTGTAACAAAAACTGCCGGGAGTCCAGCTTGAGCCGATGCCAAACAGTAGGCAGAATGAAATGAAGGTTGGAAGAAGGAGTTAGTGATTTTACATCTGAGATACTCACGCCAAGCGGAGGTACTAACACTTGGGATGTGAAGGGCACACAGTCAATTCCGAAACCCCAGTAAAGAAAAAAGGGTGCCTTTTTTTTGGTTACTTCCTGGACTTGAATCCCACATCCCCTCTAGTAAAACTCCAAAAAAACTCCCATGTGGGAGAAAACTGTAGCCCGTAGTGCGATGGGCACAGTTTTTTTTTTGTAGTTTCCCGGACTTGAAGCCCTTCTCCCCTCTCGCAGCGGTTCCCTCCTGCTCAACCTCCTTCTCTTTCTTCCTCCGTGAGCGCTCAACCCCATTGTACCCTCCCCCGTCTCTCGCCTTGAGGCCTTAAGTAGTTGTTGATGTTGTTGTTGTAACAAAGCAGACTGCTACTATCAATTCCTGGTGGCAGGCCGCCAGAACCGCCATCACCACCATTGGTGGAAGTATGTAAACCAAGGCGGTTGTTTCAAAACCCTTACTCGGTGTTACAGATTGATGTAGGCCAGATCTGACAATGTTGCAAGGAATTTCGCGTTTGTAACTAATAACACTGTTTAAAATAAAAGTGGTCCCAGGACTGACATGTGACGGGGACGAGTAGTGAAGGTTGGGCGGACAGAGTAAAGGAGAAGTTTGGAACAGAGGGTGAAGTTCTGTGGTTCGAGGTGGACGAGGCTGGATATATATTTCTGGTAAGGCTGTGATCGGCGCTCCAAGAACTTCCGGTTCGCCGACATTCGCCCCCATCATCAACAATGCGATCCTGCCACCAATCATTGAGTCTGCCACAACTTTGGCATCCGCTTGAAACTCCGTCCATCTTCTTCTACACTAATTATCCTCACTTTGCCCACTTGAGGCTTGCAAAGTCCCCACGACGCGTATGGACGCCGCACTCGACCAGAATGCTATACAAAGCAAGGCCTCTACTTCAGTTCTTTGTCCCACTTTGTCCCACGCATTGACAACTAACACATACATAATTGTTGACACGAAAGAGATCGTTTCCCACCCAGTTTCAATCTGCAAATATCCTCTGCATCGTACTGGATTATTATCACGTTGGGATATTACTACCTACAGGCTCTTTACCTCCCTGAACTAATGAATATACAATACTGCAAGACAGATATGCGATGATCAAAGCACTGATTGTTGTTACATATTCGATCCAATGTGATGTTATGAGGTGGCTAACCCAGCAGCCCGGTATTTTTTTCATTAAATGACTCCATGAAAAGCAGAATTCATAACTTCATGATTCCATGCATATGACAGTTGTTACACCACAGTCGCATCCTTCGCTGGCCCTCAATCGCCGTCTTTGACATCATCCCCGAACTTGACCACGACAACCCTGGCCTCTCCGTGTGTCATGTCCACGTCGTCGTCTCCTTTTCGAGGTCCGACGATCCGCCAGATCCTCCTCTGTGATCGGTAACCCATGCTCACCACCACCACATGGCCCACGTACATCATGACGGCAATCCAACCCAGGATGATCCTTGCAATGCTGACTTCATGAATGCCGTACATAAAGTGGCCCCGCACCTGCACGGGACAGACAGCCTGACTGGATATCTTCTGGTTGAAAATGGGGAGTTCGCAGTGCATCCAGAAGGAGAGGGAGGTGATCCAGCCACAGATTAGGAGGGAGGAAGTGGCAAGCAGGGCGATGTAGGCCTGGCGAAGGGAGAGCAGTCGAGGCGTATTGTGGTGGATGATGAGCTCCAGGGCGAGGTGGATCAGAGAAAGACTCGGGACGGTAAGAGCATAAAACAGAAGAGCAGTTTCGGGCTGGGTTTCAGCTGCACGAATTGACGCATCACTTGTCGTGGGCGCTGTGTTTGATAGCGAGATGGATGCATCGGGTGTCGTCTCCCGTTTGCCGAATATCGAAGAATTGGCTTCAGCGTCGGCGTCCGTAGCCAGACGGTCCGCGATGTCTGTATGAGGCTTCGCCACACAATATGCGTAGATGGCCGCCAGAATCAACGTGCTGAAGGCGAAGACGAGAAGGATTGGTAGCAGCACGGTCCGGAATTTGTGCAGTCGGTACAAGACTGGGTTGCGAGGTCGTGGAGGAAGTGTTTGGCCCACGTCTGTGGCAGACTGAGACTGTCGGTTGGAGATCAGGAAGGCTCCATTGCCTGAGCTCTTTCGACGAGGATTGAATCTCATTGTTGGAGGGGTGATTGTGGTCGTGATTGGGATTAGAGATTATAAATGTCTTCTTGTTCGTGTTGTTGTGTGGCGTCCAGCGCAAAAAGTCCCAAAGCCTTTTTTCAAAAGGGTGAGATATAGATGTTCGATATCCCCAGCACCGCCAAAAAAAAAGGAGGAACAGGATTATAAAACCAAGAGGAACAAACAAGGAGATGGAAAGCAATAATACCACAACGACAAAAAGAAGAGAAACAGACGAGCACGAGGCACGAGGCACGAAGGCATATCTACATATGTGTCCTCCAGGCTCGCCTACCTGTTTGTTCTCTTGCACATGTATGTCCTCGACAGTGGTCAGCGGTAGATGCCACAGACATCGTCGGCTGGGCCAAGGACTCTGGCCCCGCTGATTGAACGGTCAGAGCTCCGCCTTGTGAGGAGCAAGGTACAACCTCGTCCAGTGCATGGACGCGGCCATGCGCGGGTTGAGAACTCAGGTAGGCGAGGTCGGTGGAGGGCCGTGGGCCGAACTATTCTTATCCTTTGGGGGGAACAGAGCCTCAGTCAACGAGAAGCATCGACAGCCAATGAATCGGGAGGCCATCGTGGAAGACTCGACACAGAAGGCGTCATCGACCATCTGCGTGGCGGATGGCGGCTATTTGTGGCAGAGACAAAAGGGGTTGTTGGGGTGTTGTTTCGTATATACAAGATTGAAAAGAAAGGGACGTTTCATATTTGCCGCCGAGCGTCAATTGGCCCCAGGGATGATGAATGGGCGTTTCAGTTTCAATCAGGTTTGGTACTAGAATAGAATCGAGTCAAAGTGTCATAGCAGTTCCATGTTCTTGGGTTACGTGTATGCGAGATACAAAGATGCTCGATCTACCCGGCTCGTCAGTATACAAGACAGATGTGCCTGGTTGTTTTAGAGTCTATACAAGGACAATATGGTGTGTACGAAGAGGTCATTTTGCGGCCACATTCCTCCATCTTACTCACAGCGACGAATCAAACCTTGCCCCATCAACACACATCTCACACGTCCATTGCTCGTATATACTGAATGTATACTATGATGGCAGGACGAACCACCAAGTCTTCCACCGTCTCTTTGAAAGAGGGGGCTTCACCGACATCATTTTCCGGTGGAATCATGAATATCTCGGCAGAATTCCCGGCAAACTGACCTCTGCGCCTTAACGATCTTAAGCTTCCCTCGGCTTCCCTCTCTGTTCCTCCTTCTCTTCCCAGCCTAGCACCTGTGCTGGACAGTGGTCAACACCTACTTCGTACCCTGCATACATCCGCGCTCAAAGCACGTAACGACAAACGCGGAACAGAACCTCGAGGCCGCACGGATGTTCGGCATCCATTTTACCCTTTTCTGCAATTCTTCATCGACGACATGCGTGCATGCCCCCCCAATCTCCAGGGGGTCTTCGTACAACTAGAGAGCCTGCCAGTGGGTGTCCAATGACTCCTTTCGCCCTCAGAGTCACTCCTGGCGCCCTTTTCGAATAACAGATCTTGTCTGTCTATAGGCGGGGGACCTCGGTGCCCTGCGTATCCATACCACTGATGGCAATTATCCATCCCCACTTCCATCCTCACAATATCCGTTGCCTCGATTCATGGAGAGGGAAGATGGCCCTTGTTTCCACTTTTTTTCTGTCTCTTGCCTCGCAAGATGTACGGTCTGCTTTTAAATCATTTCACCGTCCTGATTTGTCCTGCATGAGGAAGCTCTGCTGTGTGTTGTAAGTCTTGGCCAAGAACTCGTCGTTGCGGCTCGATCCGTGAGAGACCTCAGCGTTGCTCTCGAACCGATCGCTGTGTTCGTAGTCATTCCCCGAGCGAGACCTTGCAAGATTCTCTTTGGCCGCAGCAGCCCACCGCTTCTCTTCGATCATGAGCTCTTCGACCATCCTCGAAGATGACACGGAGGAGAAACACTTGTCGGCCTCGAGGCCAGAGATAATCCGAGTCCAGTCGAACGTGGAAAAGGCTATTGACGCAGAGGCAAATGTCAACATCACACTCGCTTCAGATCAGGCACCTTTGGGCGAGGGAGATCGTGTCGACCCGGGGCCCCCTCCAAATGGTGGCTTTACTGCGTGGATGCAAGTGGTCGGCTCCTTCTTCCTCTTCTTCAATTCCTGGTATGCCATGACCCTGGGTTTCTAAGTGATATTGTGCTCTTTGAAATTGACCTGAAGGACCAGGGGTACTGTCAATGCCTTTGGCGTTTTCCAAACCTATTACGAGACGAACCCGCTATGGCATGCTTCACCGAGCGATATCTCGTGGATCGGGTCCATTCAAGCCTTCCTGCTGCTGCTCGTCGGGCTGGTGTCAGGTCCCTTGTATGATTCGGGCTACTTTCGAGAGCTGATCACGATCGGGGCGATTCTCGTGCCCTTGGGGTTCATGATGACCTCGCTGGCCAAGGAGTATTGGCAGACGATGCTGGCCCAGGCATTCTGCGTCGGCGTCGGCAACGGGTGCGTCTTCGTCCCCTCGGTCGCCATCCTCCCCCAGTACTTCTCCTCGCGCAAGGCCCTGGCCAACGGGCTAGCCGCGTCCGGCTCAAGCCTAGGCGGTCTGATCTACCCGATCGTGTTCCGGCGCATGCAGCAGGAAGTCGGGTTTGCGTGGGCGACGCGCACCATCGGCTTCATCTCGTTGGTGACGGTGTGGTTCTCGGTGCTGGTGATGAAGCCGCGCGTCCTGCCGAAGCAAAGGCGGCCGTTGACCGACCTCGCCGCGTTCAGAGAGCTGCCTTATGTGCTCTTCTGCGTCAGCATGTTCTTTGGCTTCGTCGGCCTGTACGGACCTCTGTACTACATCGGTCCGTACGCGATCCAGAACCACATCACGGGCGAGAACCTGGGCTTCTACCTGCTCCCCATCATCAACGCGGCCAGCATCCTCGGCCGTATCATCCCCAATATCTTCGCCGACAGGATCGGCCCCTTGAACGTGCTGGTCCCCTGCGCCATCATCGCGGCCGTGCTGGCCCTGGCGTGGATCGGCATCAAGTCCCTCGGCGGCCTCCTTGCCTTTGCCCTCATCTACGGCTTCTTCAGCGGCGGCTTCGTCTCGCTGCCCCCGGTCGCCATCGTCACCCTGACTCGCGACATGAGCAAGATCGGCACCCGCATGGGCCAGTGTTTCTTCATCAGCGCCTTCGGCCTCCTCGTCGGCACCCCGGTCTCGGGCGCCATCCTCAAGGGCACCGGCGAGTGGTTGGGCGTGCAGCTTTGGAGCGGCGCCGCCATCCTTGTCACCGGGGCTTTGATGCTCTGGGCCCGTGTGTCCGTCGCCGGCTGGGCTCCTTTTAAACGTGTCTGAATGGGTTTTCTCACTTACTCTCACACAGACAAACACTCTCGCAGAGTCTCAAACCCTGCCGAGCAACGGATGAGCTGAAACGCTGCTCACATCTATAGCAGCCCTCCAAAGATAAATGCATGCATGCATGGTCAGACAGACAACCCCTGTCGGCATTACCTAGGACCTTCAGCCCACTTCAGACACGCATCTGATGACTCTCACAGCCTACCAATCAAGCAGGAGTGTCCTCCCGCATTCACCCTTGCCCCTTTTTTGTCAAAGGAGAACTCGATGTCCCTTTTCACACACGACGCTTCAGTTAGTGCGGCTATGTCGTGAGCGGACGAGCGGCCGACCTCGCGATAGAGGAGTAAAGGGGAATCCTGGGTGTTGGGTTCTGGGGGGGGGGGGGGGGGAAAGCGGTCCGGGAGCGAAGGGAGAGGGGGAGTTAAGTTATATCTCTGCACCCGGCCAGCCCGCCTGCGAATGTGCGAGGTGGTGAAAGAGGTAATCTGGCACAGGATGGGAGTTCTGAGTATGGCGGATGGACGGACGAGGAAACGGGCAAACGAGGAAATGAGGAAACAGACGCTTACATCGTAGGTGCTGTCACAGTCACAGTCAGTCACAGGCGCAGGCGCAGGCGCAGTCAAAACTTCGCAGTCCGCGCAAATCGTCGATACCAGCAGGCAGATAACACAAACAACTCCGAGGGAGAACGAGATTACAGGAGAAGCGCTGTAGGTAGAAGGTCAAAAAGAGACACACTCCTCCTCAGTAGTTCAGCTTCTACAACTCATTACTGATTACTGGCACTTGAAAAGCTCATGTCTGATTTTCAATTCCTGGATCTGTTGTACATCTACGCCTTGCTGTATGACTGGCTGGCGTCCATCTCACTTCTGACACATTCACCACGCGTGCACATCCACCAGATTCAACCAATTAACCACCCCCATGGCCTTGACCAGATTGCCCTTCAGGTCCAGGTGAACGCCGTCGTATTTGGACGATTGCACGCTCATGTTCCAGGTGCCCATGGCCTCGACGCCCCTCTTGGCGGCTTCATTGCGCACGCTCTCCTCAAAGATCATCAGGGCCTTGTCGCCCTGGCTGACCAGCCACTCATCCGGTTTCCTGACGCCCGCGGCGTTGGGCGTGATGAAGAGGCGCGGCCAGATGGAGTGGGCGTGTCGTTTGTTCACTGCCGACAGGTACGGTGCTTGGAGGAGCGTGTGGTCCAGAATGCCGTCCAGCCAGTTCATCGTGGCTTGGAGGTCGAGGTCGTTCCACAGGCCGTGGCCGAAGATGAATGCATACGGTTTGCCGGGTTTCGTGGGCGACAGCAGGTCCTTGTATCGGTTGACTTCCTCATTGTCGAGAGGAAACCGGAGCATCATCTCGATGACCAGGTCTATGGGGCTCTCGCTCGGACAGGCCAAGCTCGACAGGTCGTGCTCGAGGACCGACGAGGTGGAGAATATTCCCTGTACAGAACACGATTTAACGTCCATCTGGTGGTTGCAAAAGCATTCATGCCTGTTTTGAAAATCCACGTGTCAGTAAAACTAGGTTCATTCACACGTCCAACGGAGCTGTGAAGACGAGCCTGCACTTACAGTTCCTGGTCATCAAAGTTCCAATTCGTCACTGCTCCGTATCCGAGATCTTTGCGTAAAAGCACATTCAACGCTCCCACCACGTGTCTCATCATGCTGTCACCCACAACAATGACCTTTTCGAATCGAGAGAAAATCTCGCAGACCTCTTCTGTAGTGAACCAGCGCATATCGCACCCGAGTGGAATAAAAGGTCGATTGAAACCGATCCTTCCACCGCCCGAGAAGGCCTGTAAGAAGTCCTTCCGTGTAGCACACAAGGGAGAAAAGGCAGAGTGCAAGTCGACAGAGGAAATTTGACATTCGCTGTGATTTCGCCAGGCGTAGTTTTGAAAGGTGTCGATTGTGTCTGGTGCTCGGTAGGTGGAGTTTTCTGGCGGCTCAAAAGCTGGGAGGGAAGCGGTGGATGGACTGTAGCCGAATTCGACATTGATACATGCAGAGAGACCAAGGAATCGACCGGACTGTAGTCGTATTGTCAGTAAACGCTTTGAACGCAGCCTCTCAAACCTGCTAAACATACCAACAAGCCGTAATGAGTCAACTTGCATAGGAAGAACCAGGCCACGGAGAAGAGTACGAGGAGCTGGATGAAGCGGCGCTTGAGTAGCACGCGCAGTAGCACGCGCAGAGGCACCGGACGAAACTCCATCCTGACCTCGCCGGCTTCGAGGTCGTTGACGTTGGGAGAGGGTGGAGGAGAGGAGCCGGTGATGGTGTCAGGGCGGCAGCGACGCCGCAGGGTTGATGGGCCGGAAAAACTTTCCGCCGATCAGTTTCTGGCTTGTGCCAGGCGGTCGACAACGATGTATCTGGATTCACTCACCTCATCGTGTTGTGATGATGACGGAGAAGGATCGGAAGATTGTTATTCCGAGAATATTTTGTAGGGCAACTGCCTTGGGAAGCCCATCACTGAGGGTGAGGCAGACGCCGTGCACTGTCACCGTTTCCATTGTCCTTGCCACAGTGCTGTCACAACGGACGTCGCATTCAATATCAGCTTTGAATGAGTTGTCCGTCCAGTCGCAGACTTCACCATCATTCAAGTGCCCATGGCATCGTCCTTAGATCAAACGGTAGCATTCTCTTGCCAACCCCCAGGCACTCTTCCCCAACAACTCCTGGTTCAATTCATTTGCGTCCAGGATGCTCGCAGTCATCAAAGGATACGTGGGGTGTTGATTGTGCACAAAACTCTTCATCATTTCATTGTCACCACTTCATGATTTCACTCACACGCGAGTGGATAGCCAACCTCCAGAAATGGGCTGCAAGGGCTCCTGAAGGAGCGGTAGAGTCTTCTGCCTCCGCAGTTCGACTTGTAGATTCTCCTCATCCCATCTCCTCCTTTCGGTTCGAGCCTTTTCAAGCTGTTGTGTTCTGCCCAGACCGAGCCCGAAGAGGCCCTTGCCGCTCTCAATTTCCTGTTCCTTCTTGGCCGCAAGTCGTGCCATCTGTTGAGACATAGCTTTCCAGTTCTGGAGTCCAGTTTCCAAACACTCACGACATCGATCCCTTCCATCTTGCTCCTTTTGTTCGTCCATTACCCACATAATCGCTTCGGCGGCTTCGACGCTGTCTCTAGTCCAGCTGAGGCCTTTTGCTCGCTCGCTATCACTTGTGGCAAAAAGGATCTCACCGATATATGTCATGAGTCCTACTTCTTCGCAAGCTTCCTTTAATGTGTGATATGGCCTTTCGTTGCCTGTGGCTGGAGGTGGAGGATATGGCCTCTCAACCAGCAAATCTTTCAGAGCATACACATAAGACAGCCAGCCTTCATCCTTCTCGACTTTGACTTTTGATGGCACAATGGCCGGGCCAAGAGGAGATGCAGGCAGAGTCTTTCTCGCTCGGAGGACGCTGAGAAATACCGGGAGAGCTTTCTTGACGTTCCCGTCTTTGACATGATGAACTCCAAAGGCAGTGCTGACTCGCAGGATGTTTTCGCTCACGGCATCTTCTCGCCCTTTGAGAATCATTCCCGTCTGCGTGTCAATCACATCTGCGGTTCCCGTCGGCAAACCCGCTTGAGCAATCTCTGCGGCTTTGACGTACAGGCCCTCAGCTGCAGCGTTGTTTCCCTTGAAATCACACCAATCGGCATAGGCCAGAGCTGCCTCCAATCGTTGCCGCGTATCAAAGCCAACTGTGTTCAAGATCTTCTCGTAAAAAACAGATGGAGGGGGGAAAGCGTCTTCCACTTCCTCCGCAGGCGGTGGACTGATATGCCCGTGCTTCCTGTCGTATGGAAGTGGCTTTGGGCGTGGATTGCTGGGTGAAGGAATGCTTTCCCAGGGATACACCCGACCTCCTTCGTCGCCTTTCAGCTTGCACATGCCCTCCAGGTGTTCAGCTACACGTGCAGCACCCATCAGAGCTTCGTGATACCCTCGCCGCCACGGCTCGCTCTTCGCATGCACGTTGAACCCTTCAGTTGTGTCTGCAGGTGACGACTCCGTTTCCGCGTGCTTGATGAGGAACTGCCCGTCCACCTTTTCATTCTCCAGCCGCTCGAGGACGTTCAGATATAACCGACCAGCTTTTGCCCAATCCGTCAGGATCTGGTTCACCTTGGCGCCGTCTGCAAGCTCGGTAAATTTTGCCTCGCGCATACACCACCGACTCCAAAAGGACCAATCTCCGGGAGTGGGATAGTCCCGTTCCAACTTCGTGTGCACCATGCCCATCGACAGGACGGTAAGCAGGAAAGCCGCGGGCCAGAGGTAGGCATTGATGCGGACGTAGCGCCAGAATTGTTCCTTCCAGCGTTGTTTGCGTTCGGTGGAGATGAATCGTCCGACGGACTTTTGGAGCGTGTTGCCGCGAGAGGAAGGATACAGAAAAGGCAGCTGCGGGCGCAGAATCGGTCGTGCCACCACTAACAACGAGGTTTTGTGTGCGAAAAACCTCGGCCGCGGAGGTCTGGAGGAGAAGAAATCGTGGGTTCGAATGCTATGCCGATACGTTCTCGACGTATGGCGAGCGGTCGTCACGGCAAGCTTTGAGAACGCCATGATGGCCAGCGATACTCAATCGGCGCCAGGGCCGTCGAGAACAGAGTGAGGTTATGCCTCTGCCCCCAAGAGGTTGTGTTTAAGACTTAATTGTGAGTGCGATGTCTGGTCTGCTCTCCGTACGAACTGAGGAGTTGTCGATCTCGGTGGATCATTAACTGTGAAGCGCAGATTCTACGGTGCTCCAGAGTTTCCATGCCGCAAGGCTGTCTCTGTTCTGTCACTCTCCGTTACTGCTTTGGGGATCCCTCTGCTTTCTTTGTTCAGCCTTGTTACTCCCACGATTTCCGAAGCACTTACTGTGCGTAACTGACAATTGGGACTCTGACAGGTTCTCAGACCTACTTCATTTGAAGTTTAGATCCATACAGTTTACACCCTGCCCCCAGCGTTTTGCGGTAAGTGGTACCTGCTGGTCGACACGAACTATGCCTGTAATCCTCACAGCTCGTCAGAACCATTACTCGAACATTTATCTCGTCTTGTCATTGAGAGTTGCCCACACGAGAAAACGTCGCTCTTGCTTCGCTGAACCCGTTTACACATTCAAAGCTGGTGTCTTGAACCCCCACTGGCACGATGATTCCGCGACAAGTTCTCCGCCGGAACTTCCAGGCCCTCAGGCCTCCCAACGGCTTGGGCGCCAGGGGGGATATCTTGGAGAGTCTGCTATGCCTGGGAAAAGTCACTTGTGGGTGGGTGGGTGGGTGGGTGTCACAGGGCTTCCCAATCGTCAGCACTAGCCATACGTGCATTGCAGTGCAGATTGCAGCGCAGCGTCTTTGAATCTGTCCAACCTTCGCATCCCCAATTCGACACAGGGATTGATAGATTCGGATGCAGGATAAGTAATCAGTTTTTTGGTGTCACCCATTGCACACAAGTCAGTGACAATCTCAGAGTTCGTATTGTCTGGAAAGGAACACAGGAATTGGATTCAAGGTTTGATTTTGGTTTTGGTTTTGGTTTCTGCTCAGCGAGCAACAAAGGTCTATAGACACTATGATTCATGGGTGGTACCCCGTAGATTGTGGAATGGATGCTGTGCCGCTCGAACCGTCAAGAGTCAAGACACAGGGTCACGCAGAATCGCCAGAGTTTGGCGCGGATTATACCAGGAACAAAAAACTCTTCTCGTATACATGCACGACCACCTCTTAGTTACGCCCAAAGGATTTTGACGATTTTCATGTGTGGCCATTCCTCCTTCCATGAACCAAACTTGGGAAACCTTAGCGATCGTAGCGAGTGACTGCCCATCCCGATTTTGGCTTCTTCTACTCCTCCTCATGCTTCAAGTCGCTGGGGGGATTTTTCCAACCCCTTGGACTGCCACAGGGGAGTACTTTTGCCGTCTGGGCGACTGGCCAGTTTCCGGAGGACGCGGGCCGATTTTGTCTTTCGCTTGCCATCATCAACACTAAAATGATCGACGATTGACGCAATGGATGCCCGAAAGGGCGTCTGGACTTTTTTTCGGGTCCGTGTTGATTTTTTCCCGTCTTTGACTGTTTTCCGAGGCGCGCGGAACAGGAGCCATGACTATTACTCGTGCTCAGTCTCTCGTCGTTCGTCGCAGACGAGGAGAACGCTTCAAAGCAAGGCGAGTGTGCTCAAGGCCAGGACCAGAGCCATCAGAGATCGTGGCAAGCCAGTCATCGGGGCCGCGTTGCCCACCTGCTGCGACAGCGTCGAGTCCTCGACCACCTTGACGCACGTCAGATGAGCTTCTGGCAGCGCGATAGTCTGGGAGCCGGAAGACGTAGACGGCTTGTAAAAGACGGTGAGCACCGGCGTGATGCTGTAGAAGAAGGGCGCGATGTCGCTCGAGACGTCTTCCGAGGTGACGGTCTGGGTCTCGATCAGGGCGATGTTGTACTTTGAGCCACTCGAGACGCTGGACGATGGGTGGCACGTTGTCTGGGCGATTGGGGCGCCGACGGGGGATTGAGGACCGGTAATCTCTACAGAGCCTGGGTCAGCATGCATCACCAAGACGGGGGGGGTTTTCACGTGTTGAATCCTCACCTTTCGGGACGATGGTTCCCCATGTAACTGTTGCTATCGTTTGACACGACTGCGGAGGGTTTGCTTCCATCGTAGTCTGCAAAGCAGTGCACACTGCGCCGTTGTCGAGATTGTTTGTCGACCCGAGTGTCTGGACCTGCTTCTTGGCCTGGGCCAGCAGGTCATTGATACAAACATCTTGCAGTGTCTGGGAGCATGTGACGGTGCCGTACTCCGTGACACCATTGAGTGGGAGGCTCCTCGCGATGCCTTCAAAAAACAACGCACAACCCGCGAATCCGGCCGGGCTCGCGAGGTTCATGGACGGAGGAGAGCCGAGATAAAAGTTCTTTGTGAAGGTGATGCCGCTCGCGTTGGACGACGAGGCTCCGACGGTCCAGGTGAGCGGCGCATTGTTCGGGGACAGGCTGCTGTTGAACGAGGCGGTGCCGATGAACGAACTTGTCGTGTTGCCGAGCGTGCATTCATTGTCGGCCCCACCGTTGCAGTCGAGCACGTCGCAGCCAACGAGCTGGGAGGAGGTGTGCTGGACGAGGAGTGACAAGCATATTGCCAGCGCCCAGATGTTGCGGTACGGCAAAGACCCTCTTCGGCCACAGGCAGGAGACATTCTTCACAAACAACGACAGCGAACCACGGACACAGAGGTTGAACAGAAGGCCATAACCTCTTACAAGACGGCGCGGACAGAAAAAAGGTCAAAGGCAAGAAAGAAAAGAGCGGTATCCATCGCATATTATGAACCATGTCCATCAGGCCCTAATCATCGCCTGCGTGAACCTACCTTTGCATTGACTTTTGACCGGTATGCATGTCATATGCAACGCAGCAGAACCTGAAACGCCTTCTGCTCATGCGAGCGGTTCGGCGAAGATGGAGAATCCCAGTCGCCACACTAGGGTGCCGAAGCAAAAGTGCCATAATTAGCAATGCAGATTTGGTTTTTGTGGGCCGGATCGGCGCTTACCTTTGGTCAGTTATTTTCTGACAGCTATGGATTGAAAGGCGGTTATCTATTGGATGACCATACTATCCAGTGGATTGAAGATGTGGGATGTTGATTGGCCATATCCACTGTCTCGGGCGCTTAGATGTTGCTATATTCGTCAGACTCGGTCTCGACTGGACAATGTCAACAACTCTGCTCCACCTACGCTTGTCCTCGTTTGGTCTCTCCACATGGCCTGGCCTTCGGGACTGGACCTTCTCGGTACGAGGTAGCAGACCACAATTGTTCGGGGTATGGTGGTCAGGGTGGTCAATACGGGTCACCAATGAAAAATACTGTAGCTATTCCTGCAAGCATCTGCCTTTTTTTTAATAGAGTTTTGCCAGCCCAAAAGTACAGTTTCATCTGGAGAAGCGCCTTATCAGCCAGAGACGCCCGACCGCAAAGTGAGCATGTGCTTTGATTTAGCCATTTCCTTACACAGCAATTGTACACGTTCAAGTGCAATGCATTTTATGCGCCATTCAGCATTCGACGGAGCGTTCCGTAACTCTACTTCTTTTGGTCCGAGAGAGGATCATCAAGCTGACGGACAAGGAAGGCTTTGCTGACATAACGCTCCGTGTCGATCAGAAGCAAGGCTGTATCCCTGAACCATCTCCACACATTTTCCATCACCACGACCGTCCTTCAACCTCGTTTACATCTCGAGGGTATCTGACACAATGCTCGTCGCTTATGGTGGGTTTAGGGTGGTCGAGACTGACTGGGTAGGTTGACGCAGTTTGTTAATGGCACTCTTTGGCCTGGTTTAGACACTCGGTGAAATTGCCGAAGTCTGGGACAATCAAAAGCCCAGAGTCACGGTGGTGTAAAGGAGAGAAGGTAATATGGTGAAGTTATCCAGTTTACCTGCCGGTCTCTGACCCCGGCACCGTGAGTAAGGATCTTAGAATACAAACTCGAACAGCCTGTGGCAAACAGTGTACAGCGTGAACGCCCGGCAACATTCACACACACAAAGCACCATCCCTTGTCTTAGCAGAAAGAGTCAACTCGGTCTTGTAGTGCACCCAATGCATGAATCGAACAGAGTTACAATGTTAATGCTAAAAGTAGACAGGTAATATGTTATGACAGCTTCTCCCTCTAATCCCTTCTTCATACAAGCATTCCGTCTCACACTCGATGTCATCAAGCAATGCTTTCTTTTGTATATCTGAAAACTGGCGCCCGTCGAAACAAATTAGGACGTCTCGACTGTGCTGGTTTGATGAGGGAAAACAATGCGCTTCTGAAGCCGGAACACCCTGCTTGCTGGCTTGAAACAGATCTTCTCCAGCGCCGCATACGGCATGACCTTAGTAAGGTCCAGAATGAGGCGTCGTCGGGTTAAAAAAGATGATGCCTGACCAGTCGTCCTCTGGGAAGAGGTTATCTTCACCAGACGTCATTTCAATGCGTTTCGCATGTACTCAATAAACGCGTGCTTCACTTATTTCTGAAAGTATAGTGCCACTATTGTGTCATTGTAACATCCTGGTCCGGGTCAACAGTAGGCTCGGCGTCCTCTACCTCAAAACGAATTCCGGGTGTTTGTTCTGTCCGTGTAAAGGACGACCGAGTCACTCGTTCTATTAGATCAGGAGGTAGCAATGGTAGTTCAATCTGCCGGTCGGATTCACTTCGTGGCAGGTCCGGTCTCAGCTGATCGGCAGCGTCGGCTTCTGCGAGTGCCCGCAGCATTGCTTCACGCTGTGCTTCTTCCTCCAAGAGAGACCTTTCCCGGCTTCGCCGCTCCCGACTGCTGCGTCTTGGACCTTCTGCTTGACTGAGAGGAGTTGACGAGTAGCTCCGGGGAGGCGCCAGCAGGTTACTCAATCTCGACCGGCTGTTCACCCTGGATAGATGAGGGCTGTTGGAACGTGACGGATGTCGACTACCTGGCCGACTACCTGGAATAGTTGACATGATTGCTTCGTGGTTAGCATCAAAGGCGCTGAAGCCTGGCTCAGGTCGCAAGAAAGACTGCCGCACATCGGCAGGGTTTCTGAATGATGCCCCTGGGATATGCCTCCGAGGCGGTTCTGATGCAAACAAATGTGGGTTTGGGTTTGACCAGCCGGACAATCTCGGCGGATAGTCCTGGCCGAAATATCCTGCTCTCGGATCTTGAGAATAGTGACCCAGTTCGAGCGGCCGAGAAGCGCCTTCTCCAGTTCCTGGCACCGGAACAGAAGGAGGTACGTAGAAACTTGACGTTGACTCCAAGGTATGTCGCCGTGATGGCGTGCGAGATGTGCTCCTTGCACGCTCACCATATTCCGCCGCCACGTCAAATGCGTTGGAATACCCAGGGCTCCGCGATCGACGCTCGTATGGCTCTGGCTGATAGAGGCTGTTAGAATTGGCAAGATTTTGGTGTGCCGAGGCTTGGGTGGTGCGTAAGTCAGGCGGCAGGGTTGCAGCAGGCGTCCATGGGCCCATCGGTTGCACCTGATCAAAGGGCAGAAGTGGCATCTCAACGTGAAAGCTGGAATACTCGTGTAGACTTCGAGTTCGGGGTCGTGGTTGATGTGTATTGGGTAAGGACAAGCCGTGACGATGAGCATACAACACAGGATCCATCAAGTGTTCGTTTCCGTCAATCGTACCGTCATCCGACATTGTGTCAGCGCCCGGGCTGTCCGCTTCATCAAGCAAACTCTCGTCAATCGCGTCCCGGCCTTCTCGCTGCGCTTCGTCCATAGCAAGACGCAGGAGATGTTCACGAAGCCGTTGGACACCGTCTCCCGAAAAGACGCAAAATACATCTCTTTGGGGGTGTGTGAACTCGGCCGGAGCATCGCGGCAGAAGCAGGTCAAGTCGTCGCGGAGAAATGCTTGAACGCCCGTCAACGACAGGTGGGTCAGCCGAGGACAGTGATGAAGAAGTGCCGTAATACCCTATTCATTGGTCAGAAAGAGCAATACTCCAACTAAGATACCCATACCTTGAGCGTCAAATTTACACAGTAGCTGAGATGGACTCTTTCAAGCGATACGAACTGTGAAGGCGGTCCGATCTTCCCACCCGGGCTGAACACGAGGGGACCTTTAGCAAGTGATATAATGCTTGCATCCGTCAAGTTCTGACATTTCACCAGACCAATTCTGCGAAGCTTCGGGAGTTGTGCCAAATGACGAACACTGGCGTCCGTGAGCCGGGAGCAACATGCCAGGTCAATATATCGAATTCGGTTGCAAGCCTTCACTAGTTGAATGACTGCATTGTCCGTCAGGTTGATGCAATGTCCTAGATGAATGTAATGCAGATTCTTGGTCAGTTTACAAATCGAGGCCACGGCGCGATCCGTAATGTGTCTACACTTGGCCAATACCAAGTTTCTCAGACGAGGCGCGGCCGGAATGATCCTTGCAATAGCATCATCTCGGACTTGTTCGCAAGCCGTCAGATCCAAAATCCGCAAAGCATCGAAGGAAAGGCGTGGAGGGAGATTTGTAAAGGCCGAATCATTGATGTCGATACAATGAGCCAGGCGTAGCTCTCTGAGGTGGGACAAATTGGAGAGTAGTGCAGTGACAGATTCCGAGGTGATGGAATGGCAGCCAGCGAGGTCGATCTCTAGAATTGATCGACAATTCCTCGCAACCGCCGTAATGGATAGGTCTGTGGCTCGCACCACGCCATTCAGTTTTAGTCTCTTGAGTTGCCTGCAATTCTCGGCAATCTCCACTAAAGACTCATCGGTGATGTTGGAGCAATTGGTGATGTTGAGACCCTGCAATTTTGCGCAATTCTGTGCCACGACGTGGAGAGTACGGTCCGTCAGGGCGTCCAAATCTGTAACATCAAGTGCTTGAAGCTTCCTGCAGCCGTCCACTAGGCCAGCGACACCAAAGTCGGTCAGATTCGAGCAGTTGGTCAGCGTCAGGCGCTCGATACCCTTGCAATTCATGAATGGCTGAACTGTCCCGTCGTTGATCTTGTCTGCAATCGCAGACAGGTTCAATCTCTTGACCATCTCATGGTATGGAAAATAGCTCTTGTCACCCTTTCCTAAAGCCGCCACAACGTTGAGCAGGTTTGCCCACTTGTTGCACAAAGGGCGATGCCACAAAATGCCTACTGTGTACATGGCCCAGTGATATGACACCATCATACAGTTTCGCAGGTCGGATGTCGTGGTCAATTTCGCCAGGATGGCAATGAGGATTTCGGGAGGTAACTTGGATATGGGGGAGAGACGATGAACTTGTTCAAGGTCGACATCGCTGTCGCAGTCGCGAATAGCCGTAATGGCACCAAGGGAGGACTGCGAGTCGTTGGCATGTGCCATGAAGTAATCGGTGTCTTCATCGTCGCCAGGACATGGAGAACTGTCTGAGCTGTCGGATTCCACGGTGGCCGTACTCAAATTACGTGTATGGATCGGGGCAAGACGAGATCGCGGTTCGTCCGCCATGTTTGCGAGATCAGGCTGCGGTGGCGGAGACGGGAAGTTGGGATTCGAGTGTACACAGTCTTGAAATGTCCCACAGATTCGAGCCTCTGCATAGACAAACTCCTCAAAAGTGTCTTCAGAGGTGGCTTCGGAAGTATAGAGTCATCGCTCGGTGGTGATGCCGTTGGTTTGCTTGTTTTCGAGGGGGTAGTGGGAAAGGCGCATCCAGTTGCGGCGGTGAAAGGTCACGATGTAAACAGACTAGGCATATGCATTACGGCTCAAACAGAAGGTGATAATATAATATGCAGTCTTGTTCAGCGGCCGTAGAGGAATTAGATGACCTTGGAAAGGTTGAAAGGAGGTGGTGCGGGAGTAGGGTCGTGGAGGGCGTCGAGGGTTGTCGAAGAAGGGTGGTCGAAGGTGTAGGGCCGGATAGGATGATGGAGGAGTCAGGGAGTCAGAGAAAGGAGGTGTTTGGCGGTCATAGTGGCAGAGTGAGTGAGTGGCTAGTGCCACTGGGTCAAAGAACAGTGGTTGAATGGCCGACACCCGCCAATAAGTCTGGCTAGTGAGGCTTCAAGTTCAGGCACCTCGCCCCTCACAGCTTTTGCCCGGGCTGAGCATTGCCACTGACAAATCAAGTTTGTTCCCTAGAAGCGGGTGAGGAGGCACCCGGAGAAGCCCTTACATGACTAAGGTATTCTTGTCTGTACAGATACCCGGACCGCCCACAGACATTTACGAAGTCCTTAAACCCTCTTGCCCTTGGCCAACGGGAGATCAACCGCGGGCAGCAACGACTCTCTCCCTTATTTTGCAGCCCTCGTATGTACACGACTTACGTTTTCGTGCTATGTAAAACAGCTCGGCTGCCTAAGTTTGGCTGGTGATGCAGCATCCTCCTCCCAGTTTTGCGCCTATCCAAGATCCAGTAGTTGATATTTACCTAGGTCTGCACTTAGGAAGAGCATGTATGGCCCATTGCGTCAGTAGTTGTGGCTAAGGCCGCTGGAGGGGCACAGAGGCTCAAACCAGAGGGAAGCCTACCTGGCTGGGCACTGTTACCCCAATGACAGGGCCCCCAAAGCCTTGAGCATCACATTGTCGATTGGCATTTCTGACAGACTCCTTTACCACCAGCTGTCCAATACGTTGCCAGAAATTCCAGATGATTGCCTTTCCTTGGTGGCAGCTTACGAGTACAATGCCTTTAACATCACCCTGACTGGACACGGTATCAACCTACCGCATGACTATCACTGCAGTACTGACCATGAGTGGACACACCCAGATCTGATTTCCGAACCAAGAATGCCTCCTCGAGACCCAGTTTATGCCTTGACACATACCCGACCACCGACCCAACTCGAGGGATGTCAGGCGATCTGCACTCTCGATAGCAACAGTTCGAGTACCAGTACTCTGAACACCAGGGGCTCACCCGTGACCACGTTGTGCCCCTGATCATCTTCCGACCCGAGTTTGACAAGACGTCTGCCCTCAAACCCACTGAACTGTCTGCAGCTTTTTCCTCTCGTGCAAACTCGCAGACTAGAGTTGTGCAAATTCATCATACCATAAGTCTGTTATTCACACCAACTGCGGTCCAACCTGTGGTCCACCTGCCAACACCAAGCATGACGTGCTCTGCATACGGCGGGAAAGGCTATGGGGGCGGCGACCCAAAGCTCCGTGACACCGATGAATATGCATGCCTAGCCTCTGTTGGCTGCAGCCATGGTTTTTACCATTCTCAGTCCTTCAAGAAAGACAGACGCTCGATTCTGTGATCCAGAAGGGTCTACATTGTTTAAGGAAAGAGCGGGAAGAAATAGGCCGACAGCGTCAATTGCATCTCAGGCTGGTTGTTCGGTCCGAAGAGGTATCCTTCGTAGGCTGTAGGCACGAGAACGTCGGTGAATTGTACTGTTATCTAGAGGATCGGCCGTACTTGTCAATAAAATAAGAAGGGCTTATTGGTCTTGAACACCAACTAACGACTTGTAGTAGTGCTCCACACTCTGCACGGATGTCCACTGCCATCCACATGCTGCGAGTACTCGTTTTCGAGTAAAGGATTACACACACTCTGAATCTTGCCGATCCCGATGGTCCGGCTTGAGCCGATCCTTTTCTGGAGAAAGACATCAGGGCGACTTCCCCTGTTGATCGGCAACGCCGTCAAACTAGGAGGGGCACGAGGGGTCAAAACACGAACTCTTGCAATTGAGACAAGCCATAGCCCATACCTATGCGGGCGGGATAGATCCCTAGGGATCTCTTGTTCACAATCCATACCTGAAAACAGGGACTCTTGGGAAAGAACGGCTCGAGATTAGACCACCATTATTGCAATTTAACTCTGCATTCAAGCTCAAAACCCCGGCAGGCAGGTATCTTACTGACACGATAGTACGTATACTCCTTGGCCGCGGCTCCGACATTAGCATAATTCAATACATCTTTGAGCATTAGCCACGGGGGTTTCGTATCCAGAATGCGCCTTTAGTCCTTTTCTCTCTTTGCGCCTTTAGCCCATTCTCGGAGTATATTTTTCCTGATCTTGCCTGTGCTGGTTTTGGGCAACTCGGGCACAATTTCGACCTCTCGCGGCACCATGAACCGGCTGATTCCTGGATGGTCACGCGCCCATTTGATCACATCTTCGCCCGTCACCTTGGTGTTGGGTTTGACGGTAATAAAGGCCTTGGGTCGTTCGCCCCAGTGGCTGTCGCTGACGGCAGCGACGCCGCATTCCAGGATATCCGGATGCGTGACAAGCAGTGACTCCAAAGCGACGGAAGATATGTTCTCACCACCTGATCAGATGTTCAGCAATCTGTGCAGCAGAATATTTTAACCATGAAAGACTTACCCGAAATAATGATGTCCTTTGCACGGTCCAGAATCTGGACGGCTCCATCTTCATGCCACACTGCCAAATCGCCGGAGTGCAACACACCGCCGAGGAAGAGCTTTCTTGTCGCTTCTTCGTCCTTGTAGTACCCTCGAGCGCAAATGTTGCCATTGAACACAATCTCTCCTATCTCTTTGCCATCCTTTTCGACATCAATGATCGTGCCCTCGGGCACATCCGTTTTGATCACCCTAACGGGCAGTGAGGTGATAAAGCCGTGTCCTTGACGAGCCATTTTCGCATATTTGTCCTTGACATTTGGGAACTGGTTCCATTCTGGCAGAATGTATCCTTTTGTGATTGGACCATATGTCTCGGTCATCCCATAAACATGTACCGGGTGCAAATTCAGCTTTGTCATCTGCTCAAATAGATGTGCCGTGGGAGGACTGGCAGCCACCGTGACTCGCACGGGGTTGGGCAGCCGTTGGGCATTAGAATCAGCGCACAGAAGAGTGTTGACGGTCGGGGCTGCACAGTAATGGGTGATGCCTTCGTCCTTCAACAGCCGCCAGATCTCTGGGTAGTCGATTTTGCGGAGACAGTAATGTGTTCCTCGAGCAGCAGTTACGGCCCAGGGGAAAGTCCAACCCATGGCGTGGAACATTGGCAAGGTCCAGAGATACTTGCACCGCTCACCATCATGATATGCAAGTCCGGAATCAATGATATTGCCTAGAGCTCCCAAATAGCAACCACGATGGGTGTACTCGACACCTTTGGGACGGGCGGTCGTGCCACTTGTATATGCCAAAGCATTGACGGCAAGTTCGTCGGAGGCTTGTACCTCTAGACCATCCCAGCCACGAGAGCCCAGGGACGCGTCGTATCGAAGGCCATCAAGCACAGCTTCATCAAAGGGTCCACATAGCTGGCCCTCGATAGCATCGGTGTCTGTGTCGATGATCAAGGGCACGTCAGGGTGTCTTTGCCTGTAATCATCGAGCAAGGGAAGAAACTCGGCGTCGACTATAATAGCATCGGCATCGGCATGGTCGAAAATATAGGCGATATCATCCTTTTTCAACCTATAATTTATCGCGATGTTGATTGCGCCTGCCGCTCCAATGCCAAAGATGGCTTCGAGAAAGGCCGGCGTATTCGTGCACAATATCCCGACTCTCCTGTATCCTTTCTTCTTAATGTAATATGCGAAGCCTCGCGCTCGGTCAGCGAACTCGATATACGATCTTCTCAGTATCTTGTTGTTGGCTGTGCGGTGATAGATGGCAGGGGCATTAGGCTCGATGGATGCGGCGCGGGGTAGGAAGAAGGCCGGCGAAAGAGTATGGACGTTATACCATGACGGCGTGCCAACGGTGTGATTGTCGATGCTGAGATTGTCGATTGACTTGCTCGCTGGCGGCTGAGAGTTGGAAGGGAAGATCTGCGCTGCCAAACTGGACAGACGCGATTTGGCGGAGGACATGTTGGGCACTCGAGGGTGCTGGAGAGTTGTTCCTTTCGTCTGCACAGTACCTATCCAGCTACGACATTATGAGAATGAGCGACCGTACCAGAGTGTATGGCAGCAGAGTTGACGCAATCGAACGGGTAGGAGGGCGATCTATAAGGTTCGTTCCCAGTATTTGCCTCGCAAAACCTTGGAGCTCATGCCACCCACATGGAGCAGTACGTGCTGTAAAAGTCCGAGGCACTCAAACAGCTGAGACTAACAAGTCTGGGGTAGCCAAGGGGGAGTGTGGGTACCCCAAGGCCGTGAAGGCCGTGCCTAGAGCCCCCAAAAGACCCCTAATACTTGTGCTCTGTAGGTCGGTCGGGCGGAACCACGATGGCCCTGCGTCTCTGGTTGGTTCCTTGGGGTTTGGGGCTGGGGCAACGGAGAGCCTTCCGGACACATCATTCAATTGTCCCGGTTGAGTCTCGGAAAATCCTCCTTTCTCTGTAATTTCTTGGGGCCCGAATAAAACCCGTAGTATGGCACATTCGTAGTCGATGTGGATTTCAGGTATTATAACATGCCGAATTAGGAGGGAGGGAGGGATAGCTCAGTCAAATATACTCGAACTTGTACCGAGTAGATGGAAATAAGATGGAAATAATAGGCGAGGGTTTAATAGTGGAAGTGAGATCTGCCGCCTTCCCGCCTTTTCCTCGATTGGGACGCGGGCTTGGCAGTGCCAAGCAAACAGCATTCGTTCATCCAGTCTTCCAGTCAACATACATCCCCTACTTGTAGGTACGAACAATAACAACTCAATGACCAGCTCTTCGCTTACCCGGTACTAGTAACTCCGGAGCTATGCCGTGTTGGTGTACGGATGATATCTACTCGGTACATATCTGCCATTGTCAAGCCAGCGCGTACCGCGTCTTCTCCATGACACGCGAGACGGCCCTTTCATTCCTTGTCTCAATGGCGGCGTCATCAAGCATATCCCAGGCTCCAGAACGTCTCAATATTCGTACCGGTATCCTCGTCAATGTACGGGGTCTGGTCCCTAAGCGACACGTTTTCCCCGTGGATCTCGGCAATTTGGCCTGTCAAGGATGGATTCGATACGAGCTGTTGAACACCTCGGGTTAGGGTGGACATGGGTGTGATGATCATCTTCTTGAATAATGCTTTGTCCGGTGCAATGTTTGTTTCTGAACGACAGGTCAGTTTCGACTTCACAACACCCCCCTGAATAACCTACCAAGAACAGCTGGTGCCAAAGCATTGATCTGGATGTCCTCCCTCTCGAGTTGACGTGCGAGTGACCTTACCAACCCTACGACGCCGAATTTCGAGGCAGCGTAGAGGGGAGCTACGCCAAACGCATATAACCCAGCGTTCGACGCCGTGCAAATAATGGAGCCTTTGGAAGGGACCGTGGCGCCGTTCACCACCGCATTCTTCCGGATGTAGTGAATGGCCAGTTTGACAGCTGTACGAGGGTCAGCAGCCGCACCGTTCGTCGGGGGCAAGTCTGAACCCACTGTATATTGTTCCAATCAAATTGACTTCCACAGTGTGCAACGCGGGCTTTGAAGGCGTTTCCTCGTCGACGATCAATTTTGGTTCTCTCGATATCCCAGCATTGGCCATGACGACATCGATCCGGCCTTGTTCTCGATAGATGTGCTCAAACACTGCTGCTAGCTCATCCCACTTCGAGATGTCGGCTTTCATGAACGAGAAACTGGCATTGGGATACTCTGATGACAATCCCTTGACAATCTGTTCGCCCTCTGGGTTTACGTCAAGGACAGAAACATGGGCACCTTGTTCTGCGAATGATCGGGTGATACCCAGACCTATGCCTGAGGCCCCTCCTGTAGGGTTTTATGGGTGTCAGGGAATGTGTGTACTATGATGGAGATGTCAGGTTGCAGGTCGACTAACCTGTCACCACAACGCTCTTCTTTGCAGCAGTCATCCTGAAGATTAGAACCTGTTCGAGCAACTTTTGCAGTGAAAACGCGACGTCAGGGTGGTATCGCCGTGCTATATAGCAGACTCATTCGAATTTTGAAAGATACTTGACCTGTCCAGTCACAGGTCAACACACTGGAGGACCATCATCCCTCTCCGTTTCTACACCATCCACGGAATTGCCCCACGAAATGTCAGCGATTCTCCCATGTGGGGCCCTTCAGCCTCGACGCCCCTTTACCCCGATTTTGACTGACTCTCCCAATCACAAAGGAAGTCGATCCAATTGCCGAGAGCTAGACCAGTCTGACCGGGGGATCCCCTCATCGGATATGGACCCAATATGTGTCGAAGGCAGTTGACGCAGAAAAGGATCAGATTTATGGTATGTCCCAGCAGGTCAGGTAGTCGCCTCATGTCCAAAGAGTCCGATATCCGCCCTCGACTCCCGTGCTTAATCTCTGATTCAAAGCAGACAGACGGTCGATCACTCTGCTAGGCACGAAAAATTCATCGGGTTCTCTGCTCCATTGGACCACTATGGCAGAAGTGAACATCGAGGAATCGACTCTGAACTCTGTGAATGGCAAAGTGGTGGTCCTTGCAGGTCGGTGAGCATGGTCGTCGTACTGTCGGTCTCTATAACTCACCGCCATACTTTCGTCTTTTAGGTGGTGCCCAAGGGATTGGCGCGGCAACAGTGACACAACTATACCAAGCGGGCGCTCATGTGTTCTTTGGCGATTGGGACGACACCAAGGGTTCGAGAGTAGCAGATGAACTTCGGGCCTCACCCTCGGAAGGAAGCGTGACGTACCTCAAGGTCAACGTGCGGGATTATCAGTCGCTTCTCTCCTTGTTCGACACCGCCTACAACAATCACGGACAGATTGATATCGCGATATGCTGCGCAGCGGTGACAGAGCGACCGGGATATTGGGAACCAGAGAAGCTGGACCTCCAGAGCGTGAGGGAGGTACGTCTCATCATTGGATGGCTGCCCAGCGGCTTCTCACATTCGCTCACCATGAGGTACAGACACCTACAGGCATCGCCGAGGTGGTCGACATCAACCTCAACGGCACGTTATATTTTGCCCGCCTCGCCGTGGCGTACCTCAAGGAAAAACATACCTTTGACAAAGAGTCAACAACAGCCAAGTCCATCACGTCGTCGAAATGCATCACGCTCGTCTCGTCGGTGGCAGGATTCAAAGAGTCGCCCGGTCTATTCGCCTATTCGGCAGCGAAACATGGCGTGCTGGGTCTGATGAGAGCTCTGCGGCCATTCACGGCACCGTTGTATGGATTGAGGATCAACGCTATTTGTATGTCCAAATCTGTCTCATCCCCGTCCTCCCCGCTCTAACTCTCTCAATACCCCAGGCCCATGGGCAACCGACACCCAACTCCTCGCCGGGGTGCGCGCCGAATGGGCCAAGAACTCGATGCCGATGAACCAGCCCCTCGACGTGGCAAAGTACATCATCCAGGTCAGCGCGGAACCCAACACGCACGGCAAAGCCCTGTTTGTGACGGGCGGCAAGGCCGTCGACATCGAGGAAGGCATCAAAAAGACCGAGCCCGTGTGGTTGGGGGAGAAGAACTCGCGCGAGTTGGCCCAGGGGCAGGCCATTCTGGGCTTGGTACGTTTTTTTTTCATTCCCTCGTCTCTCGTCTTTTCTTCCTTGTTTCCCTTACCGACCCTCTTACTTCTTGGTCCATTTATTATACCCTTTATATTCGCTCAGCACAGTGTCCCTTCTCCCAAATACCTCTTTTGAGATGTGGATATATGTGGAGATTATCCTCGGTGCGAGCGTTTCGCAACCCAGCCCAGGCACTCTGCACTCATTAATTAGTAGTACAATCACAAACGATAAAAAAAGCTTACATCGACTGACTGACTGACTCACGTACAGGGCATGGATTGGGGCCACAAGAAGCCAAAAGGCCACGAGGGTGTGAACGGGACTTCGACATGAATGGTTTATCTCCTTTCGCAGTGGAGCAATAAGAACACGATGTGGGAAGGACGTTGCGTTGCATTGCGGTAGGGTAAAGTTAGAAAGTTAGAAGTTGGAATTGAGCCAAGCCACAGAAGGGAAGCACAGTGTTCAAGTAATCCGGTAATGGAATTAATGGATCCGGAATCATTCCCTTGACTGTATTCTCTCGACTTGACCAATCTCCCTCCTCTCGAGCGAATGTAAAGTGAATACTACTTGTTCCCCCCAAGGCGTGCCGCCAGCCAGTGCTCTCAGCTAGAGCTACAGTAGTTCAAGCCGGAATAATTTAACAGTGAAGGTCCTGCTTGACCGGTCGGGCCAGTGAGCGAGCGAAAAATTCATGGTGAGAATAAAAAGAGGCAAAAAGGTCGTCCCATATATCCTTCTCTTCTCATCTCTTCCCAGTGAGCCAAGCCAGCCAGCCAGTCACTCAGCAAAGCCGAGCAAGCGAGCTTGCTCGCTCGACAAATTCCATCCAGATAGGGAATTTCATCTGCGTAGTCTTACTGTCGGCGGCCTAGCGATCTTGGAATGGCGGAATGTCCATGGTGATGACCATCCTGGAGTACTTGGTTCCAACGGTAGGTTCGTTGCCGTACTGGAAGCAAGAGAGAAGGTTAGAAGAAGAAAAGGACTGAATGGCTCGAGATCCCGAAGCGACATCTCCAGAATGGAGAAACAGGTGGTGAAGGGGCGGGAGAAGCAAATAGAAGAACACCAGCAGACTTACCGCACCGTGAACCAATGCCATCTCCCGATGGCCCGGCTTGTTCAACCACTTGACCTGCCTGACACTAAAGTCGCGGGCCCAATCCTTGAGGATGTACGTGGACTCGAGCCCTTCGGACATGCAGGAGTCGGTCGTCTTCCATGGCTCAAGCCCTTCCGATAGAACGTCGAGGGCGACATTCTGATTCTTGTGGAGCGGCTGCCAATTGGTGAACACCCTTCCACCGCGCCCTTCTGTGTCTTCGCGCCGGTAAAACTGCTTCAGATCGTCGAATCTGTCCGTGTCCTTTTTCCCGTACATGTCTAGGAGGTTCATGTAGTACCAAGGGCGCTCGCTCTTGTAGATTGCGAGCGAGTGGCGGAGACGGACGGGGAGTTTGGTCGCTGCGAGGCATGTGTAGACGACTTTGTCGACTCCCTTGAGAGTTGCGGGGAGGGCGGCGATCGTGTCTCCTGATGTATGTGCGTAGGCGTGTGCACAATGGTAACCGAGTAAGAGACCTAATGAAAAGAGAAACGACAGAGAAAGAAACAGCGGTTCAGCCCAGGTTCATCTCTCATGCCTTGTGAGCCGCAAGGTTTCTTACTTACCGTTCTTGCAGAAGCTTGGCTGCTCGAGTAGCGTCTTCAAAGTGTGGTAGAGCCCGACCTGTTCAGGATCGATCAAAGCCGTGTTCGCCGAGCAGGTGACATACAGGTTGTATGTCAGCGTCACACGTTCACCTGCGGTGACCTCGAGAACTTCGTGCTCGCAGTCGGAATAGAAGGCTGCCCATTGAATCGCATTGTTGCCTTTTTCGCCAGACCAGTCGAAGACCTCCTCCCGACCCTGGTGGCGGAGCACCAGCTGCCCGCCTTCGTGGACGCTCGGAAGACAGACAACTAGCGACCCGATCTGGTGCTTCGAGCGTGGGGTGTCGACGTGCGCTTTGAACTTGCCCGACGGCGCGGCATACACCTAAGTCCCCAAAGTTAGTGAAATGCAGGTGTGCCACAAGGACGAGCCGCTTTTACATTCAGCTTGTATAGCTCCGCCCTGACACCATGATTCTCGTTGGTTTGTCTCCAGTTATTTGGAGCAAGAGCCTGTGCGGCTGTGGCAACAATGCCCAGGGAGTAGGGGTTGAAGTTTGTGCAAAAGTCGGATTCGTCCAGCTTCCCAGCTTTACGATATGTCTCGTCCATGACATCCTTCCCTGCACGCCCAAAGCTCGCTGGCTGGCAGTCCTTGAGCAGCTGCTCGAAGGAGGGTCTCTGGCTCTCGGTACATGGCAAGGTCACTTTATGTGAGCCACCAACAGCTTCAGTGGAGTCCCATCTGATGGTGATCGGGTCGCAACGCATTTTGTGCACTTCAACACTTTCCCCCGGCGGTGGCGGTGTTAGGTGCTCTAGATCACTCTCGCTGGAATCGTCGTAGTCGACGAGGCCATCATGAGAGGGGGGGGTCTCCATGCTGGACTCGCTTAAAGGTTGCTCGCTAGGCTCGTTGTCCCCATCCGATTCGGTATCGTCAGACTCGCAGATAAGGTGTTTATCAAATGAGGTGAGTGGGATCGAGCCGCCAACAGCGAAGACAGATTTCTCACCCTCATACTGGACTTGCTGGGCGAGTTCTTCAAACACTTTTTGTTCCGCCTGCTGAGCCAGGGAAGGCACTTTAGAGCTCTGAGCTGCTGCTGCAATTGGAGTTGCCATGATGAGGAGGAATATTGTGGTGGCTGTTTCGCGAGAGAGTTTATCGATGGCACACTGTTGGCTCTATATATGCGCAAGGAGACTGAGTGGCTTTTGCATAGAAAAAACAATCCGACACTTGGGCTGCACCTTTCCCTCAGGCATCACTAGGCACTTGTGTAGTCACGGCTACCGGTGACATGTGTGCGGTTGAGCGTGGTGAAGGCAGCGTCAGGCAGCACATGCATGTAACCCGAAGTTTCGGTCCTGATTGGACCAGGGGTAACGGCATTCATCGGACTCCTCCCTCATCTTGCTGCGGAGCCTTGAGTGAAGAATCGGATTTGGAAGGGTTTGGAAAAGGTAGCGAGCACTGGGGGCCGCAAGCCGATGTTTTGTGACACAGTAGACGCTGGCACCACCAGGATATTTCATGACCGTGGTCCTTTCTCCTCATCAGTCGAGCTGCTTGACTCTTGGACCGCAATAGGCAAAGGTCCGCTCGTCGCTTCGGCCAAGTTCTGCTTTCTCACATCCCACCCTCCATGCCAGCCTATCCAACCCTGCTCGTACGGTCCTCTCAAAGCAGCAATCACAAACGTCAGTCCCACCAGAGCCACACTAAGACTCCCACTCGCAATCCACCCGCCACGCTCGTATAATTTTGCACCTGCCGAGGTACCTGTCAATTGACCCGTGAATGTACACAGCATATAGGCCGTGTTCACTCGATTCCGCCCGGTTGGCTCAATCGCATGGATCGCAGCGCGATTTGCTACCTGGGTAATTTGGAGGCCCATGTCAAGCGTGAAGGCCTCAATTATTGGTCCTGCCACCGCGAGCTTGCCCGTATACGTGCCAACGGCCACCCCAATCAGATTGGCGGCACAGCCCATCATGCAAGAGAAGAGGGGGGCGAAAGGCTGAATGAGGTATTTGGCGTATAGCGGGCCCATGATAATACCAGCCACACCGATCAGTGCGAACAATCCAATGACGACTGGCGAGTAATTGTACGGTGAATCGGCTAGGAGAAACGTGAGTGTAGTCCAGTAATTTGTGAAGGAGGCCGAGATACAGAAGCTGATTAATCCAGCTTGGACGAGGACGGCGTACTTCTTGTACAAAAAGATAATTCCGCCGATCATTTTGAAGTAGTTCAGTCCCTGGGGGTTGGAAGAAGGATAATCGGGCATAAAGAACCAAAGTGTAACGAGGATGAGGTATTGCAACGCAAGCGCGATCCAGTAGATGTTTCGCCACGACGTGAATTGTGTGACGACACCCGAGAGAATGCGGGCAAGCACGATGCCAAGGAGGTTACCAGAAGTGGTGATACTCAATGCTAAAGCGCGTTGATGAGGGGGTGCCAACTCCGAGACCAGCGGGAGCATAACCTGTGGAATGACCGTGGTGACGGCACACAGGTAGGAGATTGCACAGAAGGCAGTGAATGAGTGAGTGACGCACAGCCCGATCCTATAGCAGTACGTTAGCATTGTGGATTCCCCTTTCGCATTAGGCCGCACGGTGTTCAGTCTCCAGAACAGGCGCGACTTACCACAGGGTGGCTGTGAATGCAATGAGCCCCAAGGTCAACGGTCTTCTCTTTAGCAAATCGCCCAATGGACATACGAAGAGCAGTCCGGTGGCATAGCCAGCCTGCATCAGAGTTGGGATGCGTGACACCTTGACATAGGGCACGTTGAAGTCTTCAGCCAGGATGTTCAGGATTGGGTGGTTGTAGTATAAATTGCCCACAGTAAAGGCACCCGCAAACGCGAACAGAACATTATGCCAGATTGAGAATGTGGGCGGCTTCTCTGGATTCCATCGACACCACGGCGGTGTCCATGTCAGGACATCGATTAATCTCTGCCGTTCCGATCTTGGGTTTGCGACCTCGGGTTTTGGGTCGTCATACGTCGCCTCGACAGCTTCGACGCTTTTCTCACCAGGGGCATTCGGCCATGCCTGTGGTTCGTCGCTTGAGTCTCTTTCCACCATGCCCGATCAACAATGATTTTCTCGGGGAAACTGTAGGGACGACCAGAGAAAATCCAAATTCGGGGATCGAGAACAGTTATAAAAATACGGTGGACGGTCAGGAACTATTCTCGGCCCGGCCTTGGGCACGGGAAACGAAGTGCGAGTGTGCTAGTTTTCGGAGATCGTCGGTCCATGCCATTAACTCCAGACAAGATTTCCCCAACATCCTAAAGATTGTCGATATATGCGGCAAAGTTCAGAATCGAATGGGACAAACACATCAACCGTGGGCTCCCCTTATTGCAATACACCGTGCGGATTCTTGTGGGCACACCAACGCACGTTTTTCTTATTAATTGTGCTTTCCAGCGGGATAGAGGGGTGACGGTCCCACAATGTGTGAGTTGAACTGCGGGCGGCATGCCGTGTTTGCCGATAACGGGAATGGAGATATGGGAGATCCGCAGCCCGAAGGAGACGCCTTCGCCGATGCAGGATTGCTGACAGCATGTCTTTCCCGTTCAAGAGAGGGATCGTTCATAAACTCATGAAGGCATGAGAGCTTTCTCGAGGGAAAGAAAAGGTGCAACAAGCGATGTATGAAAAGGAGAGAAGATGGAACGACAAAGTCGAAGATGACGTTTGACTTGGGTGTTCCACGTGACTCTCTCTTCGCCCCCATGATTGCGCCAATTGTGACTCCGCAGCTCAACAAGCGATCAGCATCCATCAACCATGTGCCAGGCATCCATGAAGGCACCTTTCAAGCATCGTCCGACTTGGCTCAGATGTATTGCAGCATGGAGCGCACTGTGACTCATCCAGTGTTTTAAATCGCGGGCAACCTCGATAAACAAACCCTTCATGAGTGAATTCAATCCCGCAGAGAGCTAACTTTCTCACAGAAAACATCAACCATGGAAGATCACAAGCTTCTGGTGAAGGATGGTTATGACAAGATCGCCCAGACCTACCTCGACTGGAGTCATGGGAAACCAGCAGCCCTTGTCACCCGTGTCACCTACGTGGAGAAGCTGCTCTCTCAACTGCAAAGTCCAACTGAAGCAAATGTCCTCGAGCTCGGCTGCGGCGCAGGAGTTCCATGTACGCGATTGTTGGCACAGTCATGTGGTCGAGTCTTTGCCAACGACATCTCCCAAGCGCAAATCCACCTCGCCAAGGCGAACGTGCCAGAGGAGAACGTTCATTTTATCCAAGGAGACATGACACATCTCGAGTTTGACCGTTCAACAATCCAGGCTGTGGTGGCCTTCTATTCCATCATTCACCTTCCACGTGAAGAGCAACGCAGCCTCATCCAACAAATCTGGGAGTGGCTGTCCCCCGCAGGCTATCTGCTGTGCAACTTGGGAGTCGCAGATAATCCTGGGTCAACAGCAGATTGGTTAGGATCGCGAATGTATTGGAGCAGCTTTGATGTCGAGACCGGCATTAAGATGCTGAAAGACACCGGCTTTACTGTCACCCAGAGTCAAGTGCTACGTGACGACGAGGATGGCAGGCTGGTTCCCTTTTTATGGGTTTTGGCTCAAAAGATTTGATTCTGACGGCTTGCGCTGGGCCCCGTCTCATAGCAAAATGCACTGTCAGGACCCCAGCCACAGTTGTTGTCTCGGCTTTCATGCTATGCTCCAATGTCCACCACTGATCTCGACAGTGACAATTCCGCTGATGCCACCGATACGTTCCATGACCCTCCCATCCATTTGACGGCAATCTGCGGTCTCTCAGTCGTTGTGGAAACACATGCACCAATAGATATGAAAGGTGCCATCACGTTTAAGGAGAGGATTTGGCGCATCTCACACCTAAGGCCCGCCCGTCTTCTTACAATGGCTGCTTTTTACAACGGCGAGCAGCCACCTAGCAAATGGAAGTGATAATAAGGTGCGAGAAAATCTCTAAGACGATTGTATATATGTCAAATCGGCCACAGCCTTGGCGACAACGAGAAAAGTGGCAAATTTCTGAGAAGACTTTGACCCTCTATTAGTTGGAACTAACAGTATAAAGAGTATGGAGAACTAACTAAAGGAGGCAGAGAACGCTTATACCCGGGGGAGTGTGCGTCTCATGCCAAGACATGTGTCACTGTCCTAGGTTCATTCCTAGGTGAGTGACTCTACTCGACACTATCCAGGTGAGCGAATCCAACCCGTTGTGAAATAGCCCACATCACCAAAGCCCTGGATGATTCGATCTACCAATGATCAAATCAAGGAGGGGAGCCTTTCCTAGGTGAGAGAACCTCGACTCGGCCGCACAGGAGAAGTGTGCCGCTGGTCTGCAAAATTTGATGACACAGTCCTCATTTCGATCCTCTTATGGCTGAGATCCTTCTACAAACAGGGGTGTGACGGCTCAGTCTGCCACACCCTGGCGGCTGGAAACGATACAACATCCTTGGTTGTTACTCGAGCACTATTTCTCCTTGCACACACTCCACGAGGCGAAGATACAAAATACCGTTCCTCACCTTTCGATGTCGACCCTCGAAGTTGTAGGGGCGAAAGGTCCGCATGCGCAGAGTTTGCGACGCCGTCAGCTCGCTTGCTTGGCCGATTTGAGTGGGTTCTTCGTCAACCCAGACAAGAACATGGGAGAAGACACTAAATTGACTACCGGCATCGTCTCCAAGCCACAGGGTTCTTTATTTCTCCGAGCACGAAAGGATTACGGCTCGTAAAGATCTAGCCACGGTGATATACTTCATACAGAGGCTCACAGCCGAGTCATCTACTATCGATACCTTCAAGGGTCCGGCTTGTCCACATGGAAAAGAGACGAGGGAGGAGCCACGTTTATCGAGATCGTCTTACAGGAATAGGCACTGTTCTCGAGCCCAAACCCTACTCGTATCAGGAGTTTTCATGTCCGGGAAATGAGAAGTTCGGAATCGGCTAATGCACCAAATCTGGTTCGAAGGAAGTCAGGAAATGGTTTCAGTGATGCCACTCTATCTGGCTCACGACCACCTATCGAGCCTGACTGACTAACTATATTTACATACTATTGTGCCCAGTATCCGTCACTGGAAGATCATTCATCCACAGGTCTACATATATGCATGTCCTGGGGTACGTGGGATGGCCCGGCAGCTTCCTCATTCGACATAGCCTTATGCATTGCGTATCAACGGTTGATAACTGATGACAGCCTCGCAGATCACCGCAGACTCGTTTCGTCAACTGCTTCTCCACCACAGCCAAAAACTTTCGACTCCCAAAGGATCTTCATGCCATGATGCACGTTACCTTCGGATTTCCACGATCATGCCGGCGGGCGCTTCTATCTAACAGCGTCAATCAAATGGTGTCATCGTCCTACGGAGCGGTTGATCAGCGCTGCAGCAAGGCGTTCCTCGAATGAGATAAGGCGCAAGATTTATCGCATCCTGCACAGGGTTCTGGAGTAACAGGCATCATCAAATGTGTTATCAGAATCGGTGTTTGCTTTCAGAACCACCTCTCTTCGCAGGAGAGATCCACATTGCAGTCAGGATGCTTGACTGTGCCTCCACGCTGTTGATATCAGCGACACGTGGTATCGGGCTTATGGCCGAAGATCATACATATAACAAGGAAAGTACATGAACTGCTTTAACTCTGGGTGTGCGCTGTTGCTTTGTCTCTTTCCTCAGTCGTTGTACCGTTTGATTGCTTGAGCCCTAAAATAACCGTTGCTACCATGTCAGAGTCCCAGTCAGCGGTTCTGTCCCAAGGCGTTGGATATGGGGTTGTCGTGGGCATCGGGTTCTTCTTCACGGTCGTCATGGCTGGCATCTCCATGCTCCAGGTACTTGGAACTCTGTCCCTGGACGATCTTGTCGCAATGCTGACCTCTTGTTACAGAACCGATACACGAACTTCTCCACCAGAACGAGTGAAGAGTTCAACACCGCCAGCAGAAATGTGAAACCTGGTCTCATTGCTGCTGGTATCGTCTCAGCGTGGACCTGGGCTGCCACCCTTCTCCAGAGCAGCACAGTCGCTTATACCTATGGCGTAGCTGGACCATTCTGGGTAGGTCACTGCATTCATTCTCCCCGTGACAAGGGACATGCTAACAGTGGTAAAGTATGCTGCGGGAGCCACTGTCCAGATCCTGATGTTCTCCATCCTGGCCTGTAAGACCAAGATGAACGCCCCTCGATGCCACACATACTTGGAAATCATTCAAGTTCGCTACGGCACTGTCGCCCACATTGTGTTCATATTTTTCGCCCTTGTCACAAACATCCTGGTCGGCTCACAGCTCCTGCTGGGTGGCTCCGCTGTCGTCTCCAGTCTCACAGGCATGAACGTCTACGCAGCCATCTTCCTGATTCCACTCGGCGTTGTTGCTTATGTCCTGATGGGCGGCTTGCGCGCGACGTTCTTATGCGACTACAGTCACACGCTTATCTTGATGGTGATTATCCTTTACTTTATGTTCCAGGTCTACTGCACAGACGACCTCATCGGCTCGCCATCTCGTATGTTCGAACTGCTAAAGAAAGCGGCAACGCTTCGGCCTGTGACCGGCAACCAAGACGGCAGTTATATGACTTTGAAATCCAACAACGCTTTGATCTTCGGCGTCATTCAACTTTGTTCCGGAAGTGGCACTGTCTTCTTGGACCAGGCGTACTGGCAGAGGGCCATCGCATCTCGCCCTACGACCGCCGTTCGGGCATACATTCTTGGTGGACTGGCATGGTTCGCCATCCCTTTTGGCTTCGCCACGACCCTGGGATTAGCATCAGTCGCCCTGACCGACAACCCCGCATACCCGACATACCCAAATGCACCTTCGTCGAGCCAGATCTCCGCTGGCCTTGCATCCGCTTTTGCAGCGAGCACACTGCTCGGCAAAGGCGGGGCAGTGGCCTTGTTGATCACGCTCTTCATGGCCGTGACATCCTGTGCATCTGCAGAATTGATCGCCGTCTCATCGATCCTTACCTTTGATATCTACAAAACCTACATCAAGCCCAATGCTACCCCCAGCAATCTGATCTTCATGGCCCATGTCAATGTCGCCGTTTTCGGTCTGACCATGTCCATCTTTGCCATCATCTGGAATGTTATCGGAATTGATCTGGGCTGGTTGTTCCTGGTCATGGGCCTGCTGATCGGCGGTGCTGTGTTCCCTGTCGCATTTGCTATTACTTGGAAAGGACAGAGTCGAGCGGGTGCCATCGCGGGAGCTTTGAGTGGACTTGCCGCTGGTCTTACTGCCTGGCTTGTTGAAGCCAAGGTCTACTATGGAGAACTGACCCTGACGACCACGGGATCAAACTACGCTACGCTGGCCGGCAATTTGGCCGCGATCATGACTGGCTTGATCGTCTCGGTCGTGGTGTCTTTGCTCAAGCCGGACAACTATGACTGGAGCACGACTCGGGCCATCAACGCAGCGGGCTCCCATGCCACCCTAGACGGGACCACTCCCCCAGCGACAGATTCTTCCCGGTCAAGCACCACGCAGCGGACCGGCGGCGCAAAGAGCAAGGACATCAAATCCGTCAACGAATCAGCATCCCCGGCACCAATATCACCCGTGCTTGTACCTACATCTGCACCGGACGAAAAGCACTTGACGACAACCGTCAATCACGACACCGACCCTATCCGCGCCGATGAAGAACGCCAAATGTCACTTGACGCAGCCATCGAGGAACACCCGTCTCGTCTACGCTCAGCTTTCAAACTCGCCTGCATCGCCTCTTTCGTCCTACCCTTCATCATGGACTTCTTGATCCCTATTCCTATGTTCCTGAGCCATTACGTCTTCTCAGTGGGATTTTTCACTGCCTGGGTCGTTATCAGTTTCATTTGGGTGTTCAGCTCCGCCTTGATCAGCGTTGTCTTGCCCGTCTGGGAGACAAGGGGGTTCTTTGCCATACTGTTTACGCAGGTCCTTGGAGATATGAGAGGGAGAAAGAGGTCTTCGTGAGGAGGGATCGTATGATTTCCGTTCCGACGTCCAGGGTTCCGGATGATGGAAGTTGATGAATAGATTCACTGTCACTACATGTTTCCCCCATAGAGTAGGTTCTTTATAGACATAGAGACATAGAGAAGACTTAGATGTTTGAAGGAGATATCGTTTACCTTGCAGCTTTCATCGTGAATGCGACATCGCTACAAACCCGGAGATACGCAGTGAATTGTCTGGTCTGACCAGATTGTGCGGAATAGTAAAAACTGCATTTCCCCATCACGAGACCCATGCTTGATGTTGCAACAAGTCCAAATGGGCACAGGATGTCCTTACGTCCTTGTACCTACCTCGTGGAAGAGCAGTGAAGGGTGAAGGGGACTAAGGTGAGAAGGGTCTGGGTACTTATAGACTAACCGAAAGTGGTAAAGCGCATAATGACCCATTGAATTGTTCGAAAACTGACGAGACAGTTGCGTCGAACACTGAGATTCACATAACTCCCGCACTGACTCTGTCCATATCCCCGGAACAAACCCTCAGAGGCCTACGCTTACTTTGTGTGCATATCACATCCCCACAAAATGCCTCCCAGACTCCGCCTGCGCACGCTCGCGCAGCTCGCAGAGCTTCAAGTCGAAGCTACTTCCACCTACACGTGCGGTCGTTGCTCGCGACTATACGCAACAGCAGCTGCAGCGCAATCAATAGCGACAACACCGGCTCCTTCAGATGCGCAAATGCGAGCCTCGATACCGGCCCTCTCGCGCTACCCGCCCGTTCAACCTCCCTCGCACCGCAACCCAGCCTACCGAAAGTCCCAGCTACTGCGCTCCTACGTCTCGCTCCTCCAGACGACGCCGTTGATCATCTTCTTCCAACACAACAACCTGAAAGCCACCGAGTGGGTGAGCATCCGTCGCGAGCTGGCCTCGGCACTCCGAAAAGTCGATGCACAACTTGCGGCTCAGGGCAAACCTCCGCACGAGCTGATCGGAGATTACATCAAGTTACAAGTCATCAAGACCAACATGTTCGAACCCGCCCTCCGGATCGCCGAGTACTTCAAACCGTTACCGGCGCCAGAACCTATTGGCGGGCTGGCGGGCATCCCGTCGGAAAAGGATGATCCTTCCTTGACACACGTGCTGTCCGTAGCAGCATACGAAGCGGCGCAGCAGCACAAGAACGAACATCCCCTAACACCTGTATTGGCCGGCTCCGTGGCCATTTTGACCCTACCAGCCGTTTCACCGACCTATCTCAAGACGGCATTTTCGATACTATGCCCCCAGGCGCCCCTCTTCCCTGCCCCGACGAGGAGAGCAGTACCCCAATACTACGAGCCATCAGTACAGGACGGGTTGAAGAAGCTCATGCTCCTTGGGGCGCGGATCGACGGACAACTCTTCGACATGGACGGCACGAGATGGGTGGGCAGCATCGAAGGTGGAATTGACGGGTTGCGCGCACAACTGGTCGCCATGCTGCAGGGCTTCGGGGCCTCCGTGGTGCACACTCTGGAGAGCGGTTCAAGAAACCTCTGGTTCACGATGGAGGGTAGACGGAGGATGTTGGAGGAGGAAGAGAATCCCAAGGGTGAGGATGGGGAGACGAAGAAGGAATAAATGGATTGGGACTCGTCTTCTCTCGGCGGAAGGGCGCCGACAAGCTGCATCATATAGGACAGGGAAGGAAAACTGTGGAGGTCAAATATGTAACAACAGCAGATCTCGGGACAGGCACAGGCCTGTTGTCCCATGGAGAATGGGGAAATCAAGCCAATGTGAGCATTTAGCCTTTGTATACTTCACTTGTGCGTGTACGTATGCGTATGCGAAGAAAATCCATGTGCACTATGTACCTACCACTTGCCCTGCCCTCCCAAGAATTTCGGGGTATCTTTGCGCGCCCACACAATCCTTGACAATCAGTTCCGGTTCCCAGCCACCTCAGACACGTCCAGGCAACCGGCGATAAAACCGCATCCCCAGAAGCGACCCTGCCAGGTCTCTTTTGATATCCCAAACCAGCCACCCCCTTGTTCTAATACACAATGCGTAAGAAAACGACAAGTGCCGAAAACACTGGGTAGTGGAGATTCATGGGCGCCCAGAGATGACCAAAACCCGATCCCTCCTTCACATAAAGTTGTAAACCAGAGTGCATGATCAGACCTGGAAGCCAAGGTCCATACTGTACAAGGTAGTTGCGAATCCGCACCTACAGAAGCACGGTATCGCGGATATCAGAGTCCCTGGAGGTGGTTCATCTTTCAGGAGGCCTTATCGCAAGACTGGGTCCTGAAGGCTGATGATAGCGAGAACCTAACCAGTCTTCCTCTTGGTGAACGAAGGTTCTTCGCCATAGACAGTCTTATATTCCTCCAAATAGCGGTCTTTGTCGGCTTGAGCTTGATCTTCGTAAGTCTGTTTGAGCAATCTGTCAGCATCTTTCGTCTTCGAGAGTACACTTATAGAGTATGCACATACCTTCTTTTCCGATGAGGATAAATTCTTCCACTCTTGTCCTATCAATTTGCCGCGTTCACCCACCGTCATACCCCGAAGGTCGCCCGAGTCATTCCTTTCTTTGAAGAAAAAGGCATAGGCATTCCTAGGACGACGGACACTGCGGTCGTCTTGAATGGGCTTGTACTGCTTCTTCTTGCCAGCTGCCTTGGCCTTTTTCGTCAATTGGCGTCGAGCATTGTTCGCCAATCTGATCTCCAGGGGCGAATGGGTTTGAACCCATTGTTTGTAGGCGCGTTCATTCTTGGCTTTGTTCTCGGTGGCTTCGTGGTTGTATCGCTACAAGAAAAGTGTTAGTTACCATGTAGTATCAGGGGCTGTGCGCGAAGAGTTTCCTACCTCACGCTCTTCTAGTGACAGGTTCCTAAACCTCTCAGCTGCCGCCGTAGCCGCAGCCTTGACCTGTCCTCCACTCTTCTTGGTCTCTTCTGAGAATATGAGGCGGTGGGGTGTTGAAGGAAGTTGTTTAGGCTCTTCCAACAGCGCTGCTGCTCTGAGATCCGCTTGCTCTTGACGCGCTTTCTTCAGGAGAGTGGTTTTGCTGGGAGGCTTTCTAACTTTCGGTTTTGCCTTAGTTGCTGTTTTTTTGGCTTTCCTGCTAGATGGTTTCTTGGTTGAAGTGGCCTTTTGGGTCGTTGATGTGGTGCGTTTGGCGGATGTCCGGCCTGTATGTTGTTTTGGCCGGCTTGCAGGCTTAGTAGACGCTGTCGCGTATGCTCTAGCTTGCTGGAGGGATGATGCAAGCTTCGCAAGCTTATATCGGGAGCTCAAAGGGTCGTCGTTGGGCCTGCAATTGCAGGTTACGCGTAGAAGAGGGTTGGTCGATACAGGTCGCGTGAGGGATCGAGCAGATCTGGCCAACAGCTGGTTGGCCAAGGGCCGGGAGAAAGGGAGTGCGACCGTCATGGCCGCCCTTGAGATAATGACAAACTATTCAATGTAAGGAGACTGCCCTCCAAACATGTATGATTCTGGATTGACTTGTTGTATTCGGTGGCTGGGGGGGAGGCTTCCGTCGATCGATCCACGCGTGCCTGGTCCAATCCAGGCCGAGCTTGTGGCTTGGGAGTCTTGCGGAGGAGTCGATCACGTGAAAGACCTGTGCTTATGTAAGAGAGACACCAAGAAAATGCGGGACACTGATCGCCTGCGGGAGGTTCGAGTTTTGACCTGCAGCCTTGAGACGACAAGTATCTCGTGAAAAGTGTTGTATCGACAAACGGCGCGGTATATCACAGTGGTGTCATACAAACCCATGCTCCCGCCAGCCTAGAGTCCAGCCTTTTACCACTCTCCGACAGTCCATTCTCGAGCCTGGTTCCTGATTTGCAGTTCAAGCAGTAAAGCTCACTTATCTGCAGCCACAGGATGGCTAGGCACGGGGACACTCGCTCACCATCACCTGCAGGCAGTTCTTATTCCTCGTCAAAACGCAGCCGAAAAGATGAGGATCGCTACGAGAGAAGTCGAAGAGACGATAACCGTGACCGTGACCGCGACCGCGGTCATCGTCGGAGACACTCCAGATCTCGGAGTCCTGATGTATGGCACCTTTCCCCATCTCATTTCCCAATAATCCTATCTCACCATTTTCCGCGACAGAGACGACACCGTGACCGCGATAGAGACAGAGACAGGGATCGAGACCGAGATCGTGACGCCTACCGTCGCCGGGACCGTTCCTTAGACCGACGCTATGATGGGCGAAAGGACGATGACTACTACTATTCTAAAAGAGACAGAGACAGAGACAGATCACGGGAGCGCGATCGACGACGCTCACGAGACCGTGACGACCGTCGTCGGAGCCGAGACCGAGATGGTCGCTCGAGGCGCGACGATTCCCGCGACAAGGATCGCCGGTTGAGAGATGAGTCTACTGAATCTAGGAAAAGGAAACGTGATGAAAGTTGGGATCGCGGTTCCAGACGAGAGTCGGGCGTTGCTTCGAAGGAGGTTAGTACTGACCCAAAGTTTGCAGTTCTTATAGAGCTTATCAACGTTCAACAGGCGTCGAAACCAGCTACCCCTACTGCATTGACGGCCGAAGAACAGAAAGCGGCACGTCTGGCAAAGTTAGAGCAATGGAAGAAGAAACAAGCTGAAGAGCAAGCTAGGAAGCAAAGGGAGCTCGAGGCCGCTGGTGGGGCACGAAGCATATTGCAGGAGATTGACAGGAAAGCAGGCATCTTGCCGGCAGTGAGTTCTCCGCAGTCCCCTGCAGCTCCTACTTCGCCATCACCAGTTTCAACACCGTACGCTGGCAAATTCGATCCCAAGGCCATAGTGAAGAAGGCCCAGCATGCCTCAGCCACGACCAAGGTACTTGGGGGTGATATCGCCCCACCGACTTTGACCAATGGCCACGTCAAGGCCTCACAGCCATCTCCAAAGCCTGCAGCAAATGGCTTCTCTTCCTCAAAAGCAGTAAAAGCGACAGGGTCTGTGGGCAAATTTGGACTAGGTAGCAGAACGACTACGGACAGTGAAGTAGCAAAGAAAGGTCTGGATTTTGCAGACGATGAGGACACCAAGAAGAAACTCGAGAAACTTCCCAACATAGCCTTGGAACAAGATCTGAGTGTTGATGACGCTCAACCGGATGGAGCCGACGACGGTGACAATGATGTTGACATGCAGGAAGAAGATGGGGAGGAAGATGCCCAAGCTATGGCCGCCGCACGTGCAGCAGCAGAGCAGCGGAGTCAAGCAGAGCGAGGCGAAGACACGACCATGGCCGACGTATCTGCACATCCAGCAACCACTACAACAAACGAAGAAGAGGAAGAGGTTGATCCATTGGACGCATTCATGCAGGATTTGCAACCTGTTGCAACCTCCAGGTCTTTCAGTAAGAAGACAACCTCCAAATCGCGCCAACAAGAACCCGAGGCGCTTTTTGGAGATGACGAAGTTGACATTACAGCCGTCGATGATGAGCATCCCGACAACATCCTGTCACTGGCCAGTGCCACTGCAAAAAAGAAGAAGAAGGACATCCCGACCGTCAATCATGCCAAAATGCAGTATCAGCCATTCCGGCGCAATTTTTACTCAGAGCCCGTGGAAATGGTTGACTGGACAGAAGAAGATGTAGCCAACTTGCGAATGGAATTGGACAATATCAAAGTCCGAGGGGTGGATGTTCCGAAGCCGGTGCAGAAATGGGCGCAATGTGGGCTGGGAGTCCAAGTTCTGGAGGTCATTCAGAAGCTGGGCTATGACGCACCGACCAGTATTCAGGCTCAAGCTATTCCAGCCATCATGTCTGGTCGGGACGTTATTGGTGTGGCCAAAACTGGGTCTGGTAAGACGATAGCATTTCTTCTCCCCATGTTTCGACATATCAAAGATCAGCCTCCTTTGGAACCGCTGGACGGACCGATCGGCCTCATCCTGAGCCCGACGAGAGAGCTTGCTACACAGATACACAAAGAGTGCAAGCCCTTCCTCAAAGCTCTTGGTCTGAGAGCAGTGTGCGCCTACGGAGGTGCTCCCATTAAGGACCAAATTGCCGACTTGAAGCGTGGGGCGGAAATCGTGGTCTGTACTCCTGGCCGAATGATTGATCTTCTTGCAGCCAACAGTGGGCGAGTGACAAATCTGAAACGTGTCACGTATGTGGTGCTGGATGAAGCGGATCGGATGTTTGACATGGGATTCGAGCCTCAAGTTATGAAGATTCTCTCCAACATCCGCCCAGACCGTCAGACCGTCCTCTTCTCCGCGACGTTTCCCCGGCAGATGGAAGCGCTAGCAAGGAAAACCCTGACCAAGCCTGTCGAGATTGTTGTCGGTGGTCGCAGTGTTGTTGCACCGGAGATCACCCAAATTGTCGAGGTTCGCGAAGACAACACCAAGTTTATTCGGCTGCTTGAACTTCTCGGCAAGCTTTATGAGGATGAGAAGAATGAGGACGATCGGGCGCTCATTTTTGTCGATCGACAAGAGGCGGCTGATGGTCTCCTACGCGATTTGATGAAAAAGGGATATCCTTGCATGTCGATACACGGTGGGAAAGATCAGATCGATCGGGATTCGACGATTGACGACTTCAAGGCCGGCGTGGTGCCCATCCTCATTGCGACATCTGTCGCCGCCCGTGGTCTTGACGTTAAACAGTTGAAACTGGTGGTCAACTACGATGCGCCCAATCATCTGGAAGACTATGTACATCGTGCCGGACGCACAGGCAGAGCCGGGAATACGGGAACTGCAGTGACCTTTCTTACTCAAGAACAAGACAGATATGCTGTTGACATTGCGAAGGCTCTGAAGCAGAGTGGACAGCCGGTCCCGGAGGCTGTTCAGAAACTCGTGGATTCCTTTATGGAGAAGGTCAAGGCTGGCAAAGAGAAAGCCGGTGCTTCTGGATTTGGCGGCAAAGGTCTCGAACGGCTTGATCAAGAGCGTGATGCAGCCAAGGCTCGAGAACGCAAGACTTTCAAGACTGGCGATGAAGGCGAAGAGCAAGAAGAAAAAGAAGACAGTAAAGATGTCAAAGTTGGCGATGATCTGTTCGCCAAAGCCGCGTCAAGCGTCAAGCCGTTCGAAAGCAGCACTAGTCTTCCCGGTGTGCCCAAGGGGATTGACTTGGACGGTAAAATCACGGTCCACAAGACTGAGCGTGACACTGGAGGATCCAAATCTGGCGCTGGGGCCCAGAACCAAATGGACAAGGTCGCGGCAGCTGTGGGTGCGATCAATGAGAAACTCTCCAAAGCAGGTGTCATGCGGTCGGGCGTGCCTATTGACAACAAGGGTCCTGATGCTGGTGCATTCCACGCGACGCTGGAGATCAACGACTTTCCTCGTAAGTGTTTGCAGATATTCCTTTCGTGTGAACAGATTTTGCTAACTGTCGTTCTACAGAAAAAGCACGGTGGGCAGTCACGAACCGGACGAATGTGGCCAAGATTCTCGAGGCAACGGGCACATCTATCACTACCAAGGGCTCCTTCTATCCTGCGGGTAAAGAGCCTGGGCCCAACGAGAATCCCAAGCTGTATATCCTTGTGGAGGGTGATACCGAGGTTGTGGTGCACGACGCCATGAGAGAGCTGATGCGGTTGTTGAAGGAGGGGACAATGAGTGCGGCTGATGCTGCCGAGAGGACTGGAGGAAGGTATTCGGTGTTGTAAATGGCAGGCGATCTTTGGTGCCGTCAAGATAGAAGAATCGAATGAATCTTGGCCATGTGTCTGTTTGAACGCCTACCAAACTGTTTCATGTGACGATGAAGCCGTCGCTGCTCCATCCAAACTCAATTTCTGCCCCTGTCTCGATCGTCTTTGCTCCCGTAGCGTGACACCGAACCAAGTCACCCCAAATCTGGCACCTTCTACCAAGACCCCTTAGAGACCCTAGCCTTCTGTTTGTCTTCTGCTCTTGTTTCAATCCACTCACCTTCAGCCTTTCTACCCATCTCTCTATCAAGCTGCCCATAGGCGGTACGAGCTCATGAAGCCTCTTCTCACGCTGTCCATTTCTCTCCTCACGCTCCTTTTCTTCTCATCGCACAGCTCCGCGTCCGATCCTTCACTGAAGTCTTCACCGCCCTCTGCAAACGAGACGCTTTACATCACCGCCCTGACAAACTACGCGGACCCGCCGTACCTGGCCCGCGTGCAGTGCTGGGCCCTCACCACCCCATTCACCGTCTACCCAACGGTCGGGCGCGCTCTGGCCCTCGGCGACGTCGACAATGCCACGTACGTGGTGCTCCCGCCACGCAGTGGCGAGGGCTGGCACCGGCCGCCCCACGCCATGTTTTTCGTGCTGTTGAGCGGCGTGGCGCAAGTGTATGTTCCCCGTCGTGATGGCGGTGATAGCGGTGGCAGTGGTTTTGAAGAGTCATCTCCTCCTCCCCTTCGAAATCAGCATCGACGACAACAACAGAGCTATCT